ATTCCAGGACTGGAATGAATAGAGCTGCCTTAACAGGATAACATACTCAAGCTCTGGTTACACAGTAGGGTGACATGATGATCTACATATGTTTGTTCAGATTAGAACAAAATAAAAAAAACAACAACCCTAAAACCTTTAAAAGATAAACCCCTCATTTTAACCTGATTTTACATTTCAAATAGGGGGCAGAGAGAAACATTATACAGATACTCTAATATTCATTTGATTATTTGGCTATCTGAACATTTCAGCCTTAATGGAACAATGAGTTGAGATTTTCAAGTTATTTGAATATAGACTTAATGAACTGAAAGTAACAGTCTGAAAAATTAAGATAATAGGTATTTGGGGGTTTATCTACCTTGAACCTTTGTTAAAAAACCCTAATGCCCACATGAAGTAGTTTTTTAAGCATAAAAATCCCATGTATCACCTAAATCTTATCAATCATGTTGCAGTGATTATGAAAGATTTAAAGCTAAATGGATGACATTATAAATCAAAATATCCGTGCTATTCACTCATTGTATTGATTCTCTGTTTTGTGATACTTTATGATTAGTCCTATCAATAATCATTTGCCAGTGCAATTTTTTCATGCTCCGCATTATCATCAGACTAAGGCCCCAAATCAACAAAACACATGGTTGATGGCAATGGGATTAAATACATGCTTAAGCACTTTGCTGAATTGGGGCCCTAAATGAGCCTTCAATGCTTTCTCCATTGTGACGCTGAATGTACCACGTCTTGAACTTTATCTGCATACTGTATTTGTATCAGATTAATTTTTTTGTTAGCATTTTGGCTTTATGAAATGTCAGAATCTGTCTTGAACTAATGAAATGGCCAAATTTCAACCAAGCTAAGAACATAGCTACTAAGCCTATAAGATGTTTACCTTCCACCTCTCTATGTATAGTAACTGTGTCTCTGCTCTCTTAAGAGCTACTGACAAACTTCACCTCATTGTTAATCAATCTAATAAATGTTATTTCATTGGAAAGGGTACTCTTAACTCCTGGGATTTAAAATTAATTAATTGTCATTAAAACCTGATACATCCTCTGATTACATGTGACTTCATCTTGTATGCTTGCCTGCACAGTTATGAAAGCCAATTCCCACCAAGCCCTAGGATTTTAATTTTGAATCTGTTACGAATTTTCATTTTTACAGTCAAAGGCTGAACTAGTGGGTTTGGGGTTTTTGGAGGGGAGGGGAGAGGTATGTGTGGATTGAATGTGTGTTGGGGGAAAAGGGTTAGTTCCTATAAGGGCAAAAACTCCACAGTGAAAACAAAACAAAGCACAACCTTGGAAATAGCTCAAGGCAGAAGGCAATAGTGAATCGGGACCTGGTTTCACATCTGTGATGGATGCTAGGCAGCTGGCTATAGAGAAAGTATTAGATCTAACAGTTGCTTTTCTGCTAGTCATCAATGTATTACTGACCTCACTGATCCTGTCCAGTTCTTTCTGGTAGGGTTCTATCAGAGGTGTTGGGGAATTTCTCATCAGTTAGAAGCCCTCTTGTATGGACTCCTATGCAGGTCAGTTTAATCACCACTGTTGTTGACTATCTCTGTGAAGAAGCCTGGTTAAGGCATGCTGGCATTCTTTCATCTCTGTTTCCATCTAAGCTGGCTTGACATCATCATGTTGCTTGGCTGACAAGAGCACAGTGGACGCCTGACAACTGGATGAATCACTCCCCATAAGAAGGTATTACTGGTAGAGCAGAGTAAACTGGATGACCTGGCCTGCCTTGTGATGGCCCTGGCTATTGAGTCACTTCACCCCCAAAGAAGTGAATCAGGTTCAAAATAATGTACCTTTTACCACAAGATGAGTGTCTTATGTACCAGGGGTCCACTGCTGTTGAATTCTTACACTTACCCTACGGTAAAATATAAAATGTACCATCCTTCAATGCTAAATTGAGAACCGTTTCCTTTATTTTAGCATGGCCTTTTAAAACTTTGCTTTCAGAGTCAGTTCCCCTCTGCCACTTAGATAGACACAGTGCCTGGTTTCTTCAAACTGCTTTTAGTTGGTCTTTTAAAAGCACCCAGAAGCCCTGAGGATGCCTAGAAATTAATTTATTCTCTTCTTGCACACCAACCAGATGTGCATCTATTGAGTTAGTGTCTCTCGTGCTCAATTGATTCTCTCCAGTGGATGCTGGAACCATTGCTACATTCTGCAACCATTTGTGGCATTTTCCATTTCATGTATTGGGCTATATACCTTTTGAGCTGTGGTAGCCTCCCATTGTGTAACCCAATTGTTTCTATGCACTACAGTGTGGTGTTTCACTTATTGCATCCTACCCCCCTAAATACAAGGTGTGTGTATAAGCAACTCTTGCCATATAAAGGTCTGGAGAAAAAACTGTTTTGTCTATCCATTAACACTCCCTCTCTTACTTTAGTTACCTGGAACAAAAGCATCCTCCTTCTGTCCTGACACAAACCACGAACAACACTTCCAGTCTCCTCTGATGTGTGTGTAAGGCAAAATGCTCTTTGCTAAGAAATTCATATTCATTTTGCCTCTAAGGGCTTGTTTAAATGAACACTGACTGCATTTGCAAGCTAAGGGATGAATCTACCCTGCACTAACCTCCTGAGCAGCAAGTGCCCCTGTTGATGCATGTTAAAATTTCCCTAGAGCACACTGGTTTAAAACAGCAATACTTCAAAGTGCACTAGGGAACTTTTAGAGTACACCAGCAGGGTCCACACAGACACCCAGAGTGCAGCATGCTAGTACAAGGTAAGTTCACACCCAGTAAGCGTCTGTTTATACCAGCCCTCAGCAAATGGGGTACTGTATAGCCATGGCAAAGAGTGGTAGAGAGGTGGCCCCAGCCAATAACAAAATTTAAGCTGGATCACACACACATCGGTAACAAATTTTTGAATACTGGTAGTTCCTAACTTTGTGGGCAAATCTGTTTGCTTAGCAGGAGGCGGCAACAAAAAAATCCCGTCAGTTGGCTGAACAGGCAAGCCAAAAATCTGTCACAGGCTGGGATCTGTAAGTACACTTTCAAACACAGCTTCTGAAAGTGAGGGATCAACTGACTACATGTAGGAAGGTGTCTCAGAAATCATGATGGTTAGATCCTTCCACTGGTATATGCTATTGTGGGGTCAGAGCGCACATTCCTAGAATTCAACTTACACTCAGACATAATTTCTATTTATGAATTATGGTTTGAATCACCGATTCCTTTTACTTGCCTATGATGTGTCCTCATTTACAGTCTGTGGACAGACAAGCATCTCAGAGTCTCCACAAAAGGGATGACTGCAAAATTCTTTTTCCTTTGTGTCCGGTTCCTTTGTGCCAATGTTCCCTTTTACTAGGCGAGTCAGCAGGGAGAATTCTCTGCCATTGTCTCTCCAGGAAAGTGGCAACCATATGGTACTTCTCTAGCCTTGCAGTAAATGACAGCACCATTGTTCTCATGGCTAAGAATGTAACTTCAACTTACCTTGTACCTTACACCATACGAAGACATTGCCAGGGACGACTTGCTGGAAAACCCAGCAGCCCATGTAGCCAGTGTGTCTTTCCTCCAATACTCTCACACATTCTTTAAAAATAGGTATTTATTTAAAGCATCTGGAACATGAGAACGCCACAATATGACAGAAGAGCACACATGAAAGCTAAAACATGTAAATATACCTGGATACAGTGAAATCATTGATTGATCAAAGGTCAGAAGCCACTATTGCACCTGGACCTTAAATAGCAGAACTAGGTCTCTTGCTGATGCTATACAATACATTCCAGGCTTTTGAGGTAATGTTCCTGAGCCTCTTGGCCATCTTTCAGCAGGTATTCTCTAATTGAAACTAACCTGCCACTTCTCCCTTTGATGAATAGGGTATTTTATGCAAGTAACTCCTAGGACTGTTGAAAGCTAAGAATATAAATCCCTTACAGGTTAATGGGAGGAAAAGATGATGGAGCAACATTTCAAACCTCTGGTCCTAAATTGCACGGTAGGGGACTGAGGCACAGAATACTGTCGTCAACAGGAATCTTTCCACTGACACCAAGTGGCCTTTGGAGCACACTCTCAGGGTGTGATAGGTGCAGATATGGTTTCTGAAAGCGGATTTTACAGTAGATTTTAACTATTAGATCTATAGCTTGACAATTACCTTGTAATTGTCCAGAACAAGGTCATGATCACTTGATGACTGTTAGATCGAAATTTTCCTCTAGTTTTCATATGGCATTAAATTAGTAAAAACTGTGTTTGTTTATATGCAGCCCCCCCCTCCCCCCCCACAATTAGTGTTCTAACCATTGAGGCCCTGTTTTCTGTGTTTTCCTATTCAAATAATGATCTGCTATCTTTGAACTCCAATTCATTTTTACTGTTACAAATACAACCCATTCCATCTTCAGTAGGCCTTTGTCCAAAGATGTTGCTATTAACATCAGTGAATCAACATGGCTTTGCTGAGAAATTTTGACTGTAGCTGACAACAGATTAAGGAAAGCCTCAAGACAGCCACACACTCACTAAAATACCAACTTCCTAACATTTGTTCTCCTATGAATTCTAAATTTTCTATACTTTTGAAATTTCAGAAATGAAGAAGGGTGCCCGTAGACTAAAGAAAACAAAGTCTGACATTTAAATGTCCTATAGCGAGAAAGAGCAGCAAATCTTCTCCTCAGCCCCTATCGGGAGATTACTTTTCCTCAGTGGCTACCCTAACAATGTCTGCTACCTTGTAAACACCTTGCTTGGAAGAGAGTAATCAATATTCACAGTCCTGTGAGACCAACACCAAGAGAGGCTATGGTATTCATTTAACTTAGATTCAGAATGTATTGTGCAATCTACCTGAGAGGGGGCATTTTTACTTTCAACACCGAATGGAATACATTAATAGAACACAATAAATTATTTATCTCCCCCTCCCCCCCATTTTGAGACACAGAGAAATACGAAAAAGTAAAAAAAAATTCTTAATCTTAACTTTTATCAATATTCAACAAGCACATTTGATATAAAACAGTGAAATCTGCACAGTGTAAATGCAAAATCATCAGGCTGTTTATACTTAGTCATCCTTTTTGTCTGAAGTACTTGAGAGGTCTTCTTCATTGCCGTCAGGACAAACTTTATTTCTTGCGATTGGGGTCTTTTCTGAGACTGATGTCTTACTCTGTGAGAATGTGTCTCCTGGTGTCTGATAATCGCCTTCTTCGTCTGATGTCTGTAGCTGGCACCTCTGTAGATCCAGGTATGTAGTAAATAACTTGGCATATTCTGGATGCTTGAATGCAAAGTCCTTAAACTCATCTGAAATTAAAGACAGGTGTTTTTTTACCGTGTTGAGCAGCAACGATGCAAAATATTCTACCGCACAATAACAGCATGACAGCAAAGAAAATTATAGTGACTGCCACACAGACCAGTATCCCTTCACTGACAGCGACCAGGACAAGATGCTTCAGAGGAAGGGGCAACAGATTCCAGGGTGGGAAGTTTTGGAATTACTATTTATATTGTAGCGGTTTTATAGTTAGTCTTATTAAAACTTCCAGAAACTGAAATGCCAACTGAATGGTGACCTGAAAAAAGTTAATTTTACACCTGTCAAAACTCTTGTAACAAGTGAGGATATTGTGGACTATTTCATTATAAATAATGGTTCATAGCGGCTATGAAGCATAAGAGGTAACTATCGGTCTCAATGGTGGAATTCACTAGTGTGGGAGACAGATTTCACAGCATAAATCCCAGACTTTGGAATTGTCTAATACAGGGGCTTAGAACGACCACAAGTCTCATTGCCTTAAAAGGGATGTGCAAAGCTCACGGCTTCAGCATAGCTTTCTGTCAGCCATAATAAAACCCGCAATGAAGGAAGAAGAAAGAGGGGGGGCAGATGGGTAGGCAGAAAATCTAACCAATTGTTGCGATTGTGTCAGCAGAAGTATGGAAGAAGTTAATCCATTGGCTGCTTGTGGGAACCTCTTGTAAGGCACTCATGGTGATGGAGGTGGCATATAAAAACCAGAAGAAATGATGTTGTAAGATCTCTTACGTTACATGTACACTGAGAGCTGGGGGAGTGATTCCCAGCGTGAGGAGAAATACTTGCACTTGTTCCCACTGAGCTCATGCGCTAAAAATAGAATGTAGCCATGGCAGCGAGAGTGGCGGCACGGGCTAGCAGCCCTGATTATGTGCCTAGGGTCTCTGGCACGGTAGTGGCAAGTATGTCTCCTCGAATGGGAATGACATCCCCAGCTCCAAGAGTAGACATAATCAAGGAGAAATGAATACATTGTCTTTGTTCATGTTCCCCGACCACACATTTTTTCTCAACAGTAGCAATATATGAGCGGTCTAGGCACCTGTTAGACTTCTTTTGTGGGGAAAAGGAGTTCTGAATCTGTAATAATCAGAGACTGAGATCTTAGAGTAGTAATATCAAAGCTCTTTCTTAGTATAAGCATATTAGTTCTATGGAATATACTTACTATAGGTGACCGTCCCAGAATTATTTGTGTCTATTTCCTTAAAGAGTTGAGAAACATCAAGGTCAGGCACTCCAAGAGATGACCGGAGAATACAAGCAAACTCTTCTTCTGTTATGCTGCCGTCATCATCAATGTCAAAGAGCTGAAGTAGAAAGATTACAAAACTGTAATGCGAACATCCATAGTATGAGTCTGCCTATGTGGTAGACCAGCAATTTCAATTCAAATTAACCTTTGAAAGCACCCAGTAATGGTCTCTGCCATTCAAGATGTCTCAGCAGTTGTCACTGTGATTTGAAGACTCGAGTCCCAACAGCTAATTTGTATTTAATTTAAAAAAAAAAAAAAAAATTTCCCCAGAGAATGAGATGGGACATTTTTCAAGGAACTTTTCAAAAGAAAGACAACATTGAGATCAAAGGCTCCATGATATGCTGTAAATAAGCTGTACTGGAGAATATGCTCAGAAACTAGTCATGAAAAATACCACTAAATTAGCTTTTTCAAAAAACACGGCCCATAGTTTGTTATAAACTTTTTTTTTAAAAGGGATGTGATAACTTACAAAAAGTGTCCCACGTATAAGTACTAAAAATAATACCATCAGGCTTTTGTCTTCTTTTTCTGCAAATTAAACTTTTATGACACTGACTGAACTTGCTACTATTTCGGCTAGGATGAAAATCCATATTGTAATAACATGCATGATTTGTCGCCCACTACGTATTTCATCCCATCCTTTCTAGTATGGCAGTGGCAGTGAGCAGCTGCACTAACTGCTCACTAGTGTCAGAAATAAGGGGAACAATGGCCATAGGTGCCGACTTCTGCTCCAGCCAGTGGGTGCTCGATCCCCTGTTGCCCCTGGGCCCACCCCCACCCCTTCCCCCAAAGTCCCTGCCCCAACTCCACCCCCTCCCTGCCCCTATTCCGACTCCTTCCCCAAATCCCCGCCCCGGCCCCGACTCTTCCCCGCCTCCTCCCCTGAGTGCACCACATTCCTGCTCCTCCCGCTCCTTCCCGGAGCGGCCAAACAGCTGTTTGGTGGCAGCCAAGCGGGAAGCACTGGGAGGTAGGTGGTGGAGCGGGAATGTGGCGCGCTCAGGGGAGTCGTCGGAGGAGGTGGGGTGGTGGGGGGAGGGGAGCGTGGCTGCCGGTGGGTGCAGAGCACCCACTGATTTTTCCCCATGGGTGCTCCAGCAGCGGGAGCACCCACAGAGTTGGCACCTATGATGATGGCTCCAGTTCTGCAAAGAGCTCCCTGGGGGTGAACCCCTGCAACCAAGCAGAACCCATTGCAAATGCAACCTTGTTTGATAGCAGATAATGGAAGAAAAGTCATAGCTCCATTTCAGAGTAGAACGCTTCCCATTGAGGAGAGTAATGATGTCTAAATTATCTGCTTCAAAGCAAATGCAACAGTTAATATACCATTGGTGGTTGCTATGGTTTGGAGGCCAGTCTTTCTGAGGATCTTCAGACACAAAACATCTCTGAGAAAGCACAACTTTTGGAGCAGTGGTTGAACAGGCTGGATTGCCGGAACACTTAGCTATATACAGCAGCAATAGGACACAATAATTTCACATAAAAATATAGGCAACTTCTTGAGTAAGCACTGCTCTCTCTTATGAGAGTCCTATTCAGAGTAACTGTCCCTCATATCTCAAGACACTGCACGAGGAATACACAAAAGCAGAGCAGTGGAGAGAATGGAGGGATCTCAAAGTCTAAGTGTCCATGATCCAAAACAAGCTGGTAACTCATTTTTGATTTTATGAGCCTTGACCATGTCCATTGATGATTTTTTTTTTTTAAAGAATAACTGAACACTTGAGCCCCACCAAACTATTCTGATCTACATATCACTCACAAAACGCCCTCACAGAAGTGTGTAACTGCTGATGAATCATTTTTGGACTTATCTTGCCAAGTTACATATTCCTTAGTACCTTCACATGGCTTTTGAAGAACTTATCTATGAAGCTGACATCTGCATTTTCTTCACTACAAATGTCAATTGGTTTGAGAGCATTACTTACATTCACATGACAGATTGAATCTATACATTTATATTATGAGTTGAAAGAGAACAGAATTACAGTCAGCCCAGGTTTGTCAGGTTTACAGAGCTGTGCTAAACTGAACTTACCTTAAATGCCATCTGAATAGTCTCTTCTGTGTTGGCAGGGTTACAAAGAACAGACACACCAATCACGTATTCTCGGAAGTCTATGGTACCATCTCCATTCTGTAACCACAAAGACAGATGGCAAAAGTTGAGTTAATAGCTTGGATCACTTAAAAGGTTCATCATATGAGAAATAGAATCAAGCTATGCAATCTGTACTAATGCTTAATTTACTATTTTAAAAAAAAATCTGGAAAAAAAAATCAGTACATTTATACCATTTAAAAGTGACCGGAGAAACCATTTCTATAGATGAACAATTGACTTCTGGTTGCTGTTTTGTAAGCACCAGTTCACAAAAGGATTAAAATCTTTACCTGCGTAAGAAGAGAGTTTTAGTTACTAGCGAAAAGAAAAGGAGTACTTGTGGCACCTTAGAGACTAACCAATTTATTTGAGCATGAGCTTTCGTGAGCTACAGCTCACTTCATCGGATGCATACCGTGGAAACTGCAGCAGACTTTTTATATACACAGAGAATATGAAACAATACCTCCTCCCACCCCACTATTCAGGGGACACCATCACAGGGCCTAATAACATCAGCCACACTATCAGAGGCTCGTTCACCTGCACATCCACCAATGTGATATATGCCATCATGTGCCAGCAATGCCCCTCTGCCATGTACATTGGTCAAACTGGACAGTCTCTACGTAAAAGAAAAATGGACACAAATCAGATGTCAAGAATTATAACATTCATAAACCAGTCGGAGAACACTTCAATCTCTCTGGTCACGCAATCACAGACATGAAGGTCGCTATCTTAAAACAAAAAAACTTCAAATCCAGACTCCAGCGAGAAACTGCTGAATTGGAATTCATTTGCAAATTGGATACTATTAATTTAGGCTTAAATAGAGACTGGGAGTGGCTAAGTCATTATGCAAGGTAGCCTATTTCCTCTTGTTTTTTCCTACCCCCCCCCAGATGTTCTGGTTTAACTTGGATTTAAACTTGGAGAGTGGTCAGTTTGGATGAGCTATTACCAGCAGGAGAGTGAGTTTGTGTGTGTATGGGGGTGGGGGGGATGTGAGAAAACCTGGATTTGTGCAGGAAATAGCCCAACTTGATTATCATGCACATTGTGTAAAGAGTTGTCACTTTGGATGGGCTATCACCAGCAGGAGAGTGAATTTGTGTGGGGGGGTGGAGGGTGAGAAAACCTGGATTTGTGCTGGAAATGGCCCAACCTGATGATCACTTTAGATAAGCTATTACCAGCAGGACAGTGGGGTGGGAGGAGGTATTGTTTCATATTCTCTGTGTATATATAAAGTCTGCTGCAGTTTCCACGGTATGCATCCGATGAAGTGAGCTGTAGCTCACGAAAGCTCATGCTCAAATAAATTGGTTAGTCTCTAAGGTGCCACAAGTACTCCTTTTCTTTTTGCGAATATAGACTAACACGGCTGTTACGCTGAAACCTTAGTTATTAGCGTTTGCTCACCTCAAAAAGTACTTTTGGCTATAAGAAACAGAACACCAAGATAGGATATAGCATGCGCATTGTCAAGAAGTTACCAGGCGCCTTCTGGGTACGTTCAGAAGGCTGTAAATATACCTGAGACACTTCATGAGTCGAACAACAAGATATTGCACTTTAATCCTAATGGCCTGTATTGGAAGTAGGAAAACCAGATGTTTTTCAGTAGGAAGATACTACAATAAATTCATTCAGACCTAAACTGCAGTTCCTTTGATGGGACAGACCATCAGTTCCAGGTGAGGTGAAATTATTGGCGAGTCTATTTGCAGTGAGGGGAAGTGGCAAATACCTGCTGAAAAACACGTGCGTATTTGAGTTGATTGTATTTATGTGACCATCTTAAAAGTTCTTTGTGGACTTGGGAGACATTCTGTCATGGGTAAGAAACAGCAACATTTGAAAATTAAGTGACCATACACAGAGCAACTACCTTGAGGTTAAGGTGACAGGCGATCCCTGGGCTGAAATATTCCCATGAGACAGTCATGAAAATTTTTTAAACAGCAAACAAATTTGTAAAAACTGAATGTTGGTGGTGCAGAATTCATGGGGGGTGGGGGGTACATTTCTGAATTAAAATATTCTTCCAGGAGGCAAAATAGTAGTGTCAAGATCCTCCGAAGTTGATCAATATGGAACGTTTTACAGACAAATGAAGGAACAATGGTCTTGTACGTAAACACACAGAGCAGAAGGGTGATCTGCATAACTTCCTGGCTCTGCTACCAATAGGACAGCACAAGCTCAACACAACACACTTAGCGTCTCTGTTCCTCAGATCCCCCATTTGTATAATGGGCTAATAAGCTACCTAATGGAACAGTGCCAAGACTAAATTGTAGAGTGCCTTGAGATCCTTGGGATCTGCATACTGTGGATTTCCTTTATTGAATGAATACTTCTGTACTTTGGATGGTCCTGGATTCAGATAGGTTGGTGAGAAAGTATTTTTACTCTTAAACAATTAAAAATAACCAATACACTTTGCAAGGTTTAAAACAATTGCTACCTAGATCCAAGTTTACTCAGTCTCTAAAGCCAATACACTTCCAGTTTACAGACACCCATGTTTTGTTTTCTATTGATAGGGTAAAGAATCTTTGTGGAAGCATTTAGAATGTTGAATATCACCGACTGTTTAGAGACTTGCGGGTTTGCTAACAAGTTTCCTTATACAATTCTTCACTGCTAATAAAATTACCAGCCAGCTGTTAGACAGGTACCATGGTATATTCGATGTTTGTTGGCAATTTTCTACTCAATCTCTGCACTTTAACCTCTGCAATTAATAGTCAGCTGGTACCCCAGTACAATTCTTTTTTTTTCATCCAGTGGGTTCTGACGCCAGACATTTTAACACTGTGGACATCCAAAATGCTAGATATACAATGTATCGTATTTTTATTTTTTTTTATTGTGTAGTTTTTATTGTGTAGTTTTACCATCTGAATGCCTGGATTGTTAATTTCTCATCAAAGGTCCAGGAAATGCTTGTATTATATGAAGGTTTTTTGCTGATTTCACTAGAACTGTTTTCAGGAATTTACAATTCCCTCATACATGTGGCGTGGCATAAAGTACAGGTTTTAGCTTGGGTAGGACTTAATATGTTTTTTTTTTTTTTTTTAAATGGTTTAAGATTGTCCCAGTGGTGCATAAAAATATGAATGCAAGAGTGAGAGGTTGGGGGAGGTAGCTACGTTAAGTGAATATGGCCTTGGTTTAAAACAAAAACACACAGAATTTGGAAATCCAGTTGGTTCATAATGGGGTCTAATGCTTTCGTTATTAATAAATGGAGCATGACAAAGTTAGTATGGTCAAATTATTTCCATCTAGGTATCAAAACCAAGAATTAAACACAGTGCAATTAGAAGTACTTCATTCCAGCATTTTGGATATCTGGGTGTGAAAACTGCACTTCAAGGTCATATTGTGACTTAATCATACAAACTCCTAGGATGCTGGCTACTTGCCAGATGGTTTGACACTCGATGAAAGGAGAGGTGAGAGGGGCAGAAGCAGAAACGGAGATGTTTACGTGGCTCCTGGCATGAGAAAGGATAGGAGGGAAAAGGATGGGCACTGAATTAAAAATGCATCTAGAGAAACACTAAACAGTAACAAGCAATGTCACTGCAGATAAGTTTGGCCTAGCAGCTTCTCTGCTTTCACAGGAGATTGTGCTTTGCAGCACGATATGCGAAATTTAAACTCTGCAGCCAAAGCTATTCTGAGAGGTGACTTGTGAACCAAAACGTCAATTCCCCAAATAGCAAAGGTAAGGGGTGGAGCATTCCATGCACAGCTGCCTTTTCAATTTAAATTTTGGTTTTCATTTCAGGTCTGTCTGTCACATTAACTCATTGCAACGGTACGGTGAAATGTCCCCCTGCAATTCTCTCACCATCTGCATATACCATGTGGTGATGCAGAAGTCGCTGCCTCTGGTTATTATATAGCCCAAGTCATACACTAGGATAATAGCGGCATTTAACAGGCTTCCATGGGCTAGCTACCTGCGATATACCCAGCAGAGTTCAGGGTGGCTATGACAGAGCATGGGGTGTACGGGTCTGGAAAGCATGAATGAAGCAGCAGCTGGCTAGTGTGACTTTGGGGATCCTGCAGTGTGCTGAATGCCGCTCCCCAGCTATAATTATTATTATTAATTGGGTATTTGGCATAGCAAATACATGTAGATCATTTAAATATCTGTATGTTGCTAAAAAAGTAAAAAGTTAAATATAACTTAATTTTACTATGTGTTCTGAGTTTAAAACAGACTTCAGCATTGCATTGCCATTTACACTATGGGGTACTATATATTTAAGAAGTATTTTCCGTTTTTGATTCAGAGACATGTGCTCAGTTAAGTACATTTATGGTGGTCTCAGGAGCAGTAAAGCTTGCATATTGCAGAAGAAAAAAACCTCCTCCCTGCCCCATAACAAACGGTCTCTTTAGAGCCCCATAGGGAGAAAGATAGGGCACAGACCCTGAATTACCCTTTTTTCCAACTAGCAAAACCCCTTCCAAGGCCAGGTGGATGCAAAAGTGATGTGGAAAAAGCCTGAGGTGCCACTGCCCAAGGGGCCCAACTTTCACTGTGCCTATAAAAGGCGTCATAACAGGGATAGTTTTCATGTTGACTTTTACCATCGTTTCTAGTTCGATTCAGAAACCATATTTCCTAGGAGAACTGTTCATGCATGTCAGAGAAAATCATCACAATCGCTTATAGGTCTGCAACAGAGAGAGAGGAATTTCTACTGGACACAGCAATAGGGACATGCTTTTACAGGTCTCATTTTCATAATAGGGAACATCTTGCAGGAGGTTGTTATTTTAATCCTTCCCTGCCCAACAATTACCTGTACCCACAGGTGAGATCTCACTAGCCTGAAAGACAGAGATTCTAGAGCAAACATTAATATAGCAACATTCACAAAAGGTGTCATTCTCTCTCTTTCACTGGGATTATTACCCACCTAGTCTTAATGCTTATGTAGATAAAAGTATGCTTCTTTGATTGATTAATTTGTGAATGAGTGGTGGTTGTGGTTCAGGAGTTAGCCTATTTTGTCACAATTTGACTATTTTATTTTTACTAAGTTCCTGTCATTCAGTCTGGTATCGTGCACCGTAAGCGATTTAAATGATGGTTCGTACATTGCGAACAGGTGATCAGATTTCAATGACAATTTGTACACAGACTCAGTGAACAGTATTTTCCAGAAACGTAGAAATGGAAGCTGTAATTATTTCAAAATACATCAACCTGTTAATAATCAAATGCAACCCCTCTGTTGTTTAGTTAGCTGCTGATGACACTTTCTTACAAAGGTAGTGTAGGAGGGGCATAGGCCTCTGGATATTTGTAACTAGAGATGGCTGCTTGACTCATTCCATTCAGCTCTCTCCCTCTCTCTCACACGTTAATATCAACTAGGCCCATGTAAATTAAATTTTGCTTTAAAGCAGCCAAGGACACTCTGAACCGCAGGCACACACACCTACAGTTCCTGCTGCTTCTTGCCTTTTAACGCCACTGCAAGCATCTCTGCCCTGACATGAATGGAATTACTGTAGTTGGAAATTGTGGGTCAAATTCATTCCTGAGGAAACTCCACTTCAATGGAGATAAGCCAAGGCTGAATTTGTCCATCTGTCTGTCTAACAGGTGACCGCAACAGTTCAACAGCCCTCTCAACAGGCAATTCTGTATTTTAACACTACTCAGATTATTGCACTTTACAATACAAATATTTATTAGAAGGCTGCAGGAATAAAAAGAGTATATGCCAAGCACCAGGTCTCCAGGAAACATTTCAGCCGAAAACAATGAGACAGCAAAAGTAGGAAAGAGGAGAGATTTTAATTTGTCTCTCAAAATCCATTGATTATTATAATAATTACAACTCCAATTTATTTTCCCCATTACAAATAATTCCTTACAAATTAGAAATCAGTACACCTCTATTTACTAGCAATTTCCCTGCAGGCAAGCACCGCTTCCGTCTCCAGCAAAATAAGCTCTGATAGATAATACATAAAAATCAAAATACTTATCAAGAACAACCCCAATCTTAATAGAGAATACATTTCTGATTTTTTTTTCTTATGTGTATACGTCCACCAGTCACCAACAAGCTACATGAGAAGAAAGCCTTAGCAACAACTACTCTGACCCATCAACATTCTCTCCTTTTTGAACCCAAATCTAGTTTTCTATTATAGGTACCCGTATGCACACACGCACACACACACACAATCTTGCACAGCTCAAGAAATGCTCCATTTTCGAGCCCCTCAGCAATCCAAACAACTGTAAAACGTACACAGTAGAAAAAACAAACATTTCACAATAAACTAAGGGGTTTTTAAGCATTAAAGTATTGCGTGCTCTTTCATAGCAACACAACTTGTAATGACTTTACAAACAGTGGCTCTTGAGCAACAAGGAGAAAGGCTCCCATTAGTAACACAGGCATTAACAAGAGCACACAGTTGGAGTGTATTCATTCCAATGTGCTCTCTTAGGAGTACATGGTTAGCTGCAGCCATTCTTCAATGTTCATGTTCACCAGGCCGTCTCCATCTTGGTCCAGGGATTTGAAGGCACGGAACATGCCATCCAGTCGCACCAAGCAGCTGATGAAGTTATTGAAATCCATGCTCCCATTTTCATCAGAGTATCTGCGAATGATCATCTGGTAGAGCTGGTCATTCAGCTGGAACCCTGCAGCCTTGAAGGCACCTGGCAGCTGAGCACTCCCAAGAGTTCCCGACTGGTCAGAGTAGTATTCTTTGTACACGCACTGCCACTTCTTGATGTTGTTCCACAGGTACTTAAACTCCTCAAAGCCCAGCTTACCGGTTGTGTCGCTGTCCATGACTGACACCATGCTCCGGCACGTGTCCAGGCTGAAGCCCTCTGTCTTCAGGTTTTTATGTCTGGCCACCACCTTGTTCAGAATGTCCATCAACTCGGAGGCGCACACTTCCATGTCATCTCCAGCCAGCTGGACAAAGAGTCGGCGGAACTGACGCATCTCCTCGCTCTCGCCGGCTTCCACATTCATGAAGTGACTGCAAGGAGGTGGGGGTGGCTCTGGGGTGTACTGAGCTGCTACCTCACTGATAATGTTGACGAGTCCTCCAACGAGTCCTCCAAGATTTCCTCCTCCTTGTCCACCTCCTGCTAAAAGACCCCCAAGGCCTCTCGCAAGGCCCCCTCCACCACTGCTCCCTCCACCAAGCAAGGCTTGAGCGAGGAACATGGTGAATGTGTTGCAGAGAATTAACCAGATGAGAGCTGAAAATCCTGCAGCCTCAGAGCTTTGATGGAGTCTGAGCTGGGTGTGAGCAAAATACAGATTATCTGTCTGAAGTTTTAGTATTCACCATGCCCAGGCATGTCTGATGCAGCCTTTGGTTGCCTGAACTCCCTGCAGCCACCCTCTGCTTTTGACAAGTATTTCTCTCTCCAAACGCTTGTTTTTTATTTTACAGATCAGATTCGTTTTATCTGATGTGAAACCATTTTAGGGTAAAACTGAGGCGTTGAAAACCATACAGCAAAATTTTCAAAATGTCCTTGGTGGTACTTTGAGCAATGCAACATTAGAAAGGACCACAGCCAAGGTTAGACAACTAACTTAACTTCCCAAGGAGATCCGCTCAGTTTACCACGGTTGTATCCATCCCTGCATTCTCCTCTCCAATGTCTTGACTTTTGTTGGAGTTCGGTGCTGCATTGACAATCCTAGAAATTAAAGTAACTTGTTTGTCCAAATAGGTGCAGCATGGCTAGAAGCAATACAAGATTGCCCAACCAGCCATGCCAATGGGCCTCAACCTCCCACTTACTGTGATGGCCACAAGCTAACGGTCAGGATAGTTTAGTCTCACTTTTTGTCTTTAGCCTCTCTGCTTAGACTGAACAAGAGTCAGGTTTGATGGGGGTTTCTGTATCACAGGCCCCTGTCTACTCATTTTACTATCTGAGATTTTGATGGCCTTTTGGTGGCTACAAATTTGGGTGAGGCTCAAGTCAGTGACCTGGAGCTGAGAGTTCTCAAAAACCATTTCCCTTCTTTCCCCAGACAGCTGTGTTCTTGCATGCAAGTTGAATATTTTGAAATAAAAAAAAAAAAAAAGGTAGGCAGGAAGAACAGGGTGTTGATGAGATGCTCGAGCCAGACTTACATGAGCCTCAGCATTAAGCTTGCTATCCTAAGTCAAAGAGCTGGGATTTTAAGCATAGCCGATTTCATTTGGGGCAAGTGGATAGAGTTTTCAGTAAGAATAAAAAAAACCAACTATTCTACTGCTCTAGGACCCTGCTTCATGAAGCCGTACATTAATCTGGTAATCAGCACCACACTGTAAGCATGGAGAGTGATCCTCAAATGACTACAGCTGACTCAGCATACGGGAAAGTCCCAGCTTGGGGAAAAGAAGGGCCTTAGCCAATAGTTTCCTAGAGAGAGAGAGAGAGACACCCTATGGTCATTACTGAACAGCTGGGATTAAATAGGGTCCATGGCGATGAAATATTCACATACGCCTGTAGGTCAGGCACTTTCAGTACAGTCAGCGTTTTAAAAAGAAGAAGAAATTGGACCCTTCATTTTCTGCTGATGAATTCATTCAGACCTGGAGAATCTCACAACAAGTCTTGTCAGTGCTATATGGCACAATTCCTTGATAGGGAAGTTTACTAAAAGCAGGACCAGGAAAAACATGCAGAGTTTGCGAAACTCCCAAAATAAAATGTGAACAACAGATCCTGGAGTGCTTGCAGCATACCATGCTGACTGTACATAGCGCACAGTGCATAATGGCAACCTTTCAAATTACAGCATGTTTTCACGAGCACGGACGTGCACTTCTATTACACGTACTGGGCTCACCCAGTTACCTGCAGCCTTACAATCCTATCAATTTATAATGGCATTGCCTGGCTGTAATGGAGCACAGAATTTGACCCACTGAGGTAGGCAAAGTGAATCAATTAATCAACGTCTGACAAACTCCAAGTTGTTGCCATCTGATGGATGCTCAGTGGCCTATGTGAAAAGACGGAATCCAGTTGATAGGTTCACAGATACATTCAAATACTCATCACATCTAGCACCTTTGCTGAGCAGGAAGGTCAGGTGTAGAATGAGCATGAGAACTGGGACAGTCCTTTATCCACAGATGTTGTCTTGTCCCCTCCAGGCCAGGTTTTGGGCCCTATGGCACAATTTGCATGTTGTGCTGTACCTGTTCTAGGGACTAACCAGAGGACTTCATGTTGCAGGGATGGCATCTGACAAGCAACAGATTAACCTAAAAACTTTTATTGCTAAAAAAATGTAGAAAGGCAGCCACCGGTTTCTCTAGTCTATAGGATTTTGGTTGGCAATTTACTCCTTTAGTGAGCTGGACTTACGCTTGCAAATATCTTTAGGGAAAATGATTCTTAAGAGAATGTTACTAAGACACCTTATTTCAGTCAGTGCCATAAATCCTTACCCTATCGAAGAGTAGGAACAGCTCTTTGAGAGCATCTGAGACAGGCAGCTTCAAATGCTTGGCAAACTCCTCCATTCCAATTCTTCCCCCTTTGGAGGCGTTTGCAATAGCAGCAAATGTATTCAGTTGATCTCGGATAGGATCCCATTTTAGACTATAAGAATCAGAAGGAGACATAATTAACTTCTGTGCAGCAGGGCTCAAGAGAGACGGAGTTTTAGTAGCAAGAGAGTGACTGCAGTTTCCACAGCAGAAAACTGGATAGCATGGAGTATGTCGTGCAGTGAAAAGGTTGTGCTTTCAATGTGCAATACTGCATACTGAATCAGTGTTTAACCCCTGAAAACTACTGTTTTTTATTAAAGCTAATTCTGTGCTTAGGTATCTCAGCACTCACTGCACAGAAGATGAGAGTTTTCAGAAGCATAGGCAACATCCAGCAACAGAACTAAAGACAACGTTTCATGGCCTTAAATTTGAATCCACCCAGCCCTCAATGTTTCATGTCACAGCATTAGCTCCCAAATAGGAGAGGGCACCTTTTAGCTGCAACTAACCTGCTAGCTGAGTAATGATGTAACATCTAGTGCACCCCAGAACACATCTCATTCAGTCAGGAGAAGTGACAGCACCCTATCCCCAACACAAGAAGTGTGGTCCCATGATTTGGGTGGTAGGCAGCACTTGGGAGATGCAGGTTCAATTTCCTTCCTTCCATACAAATTTCCTATGTGACTCTGGGGCAGTCACTTGGGCTCTCTGTGCCTCAGCATCCCACCTGTGAAATGGGGATAATAGTACTTCCCTACCTCACAGGTACATTAAAGATTGTGAGGTGCTTAGATACTACTGTAGCAGGGGGCTATTTAACTACAGTAGGCAGATTCTTACTTCCTCACACAGGCACATAGTCCAAGGCATAATTTAGCCCCAGAGGGCCCTTTCCTTCTCTAATTTCTATAGAGATTATATTACTTTTCAAATCCTAAAATACATTACGTAAGATCAAATAATCAACCAGGCAATTTGTCCTCTGTTCATAGAATCATAGAACTGGAAGGGACCTCGAAGGTTCTCTGCACTCATGGCAGGACTAAATATTATTTAGACCATTCCTGACAGGTGTTTGTCTAACCTGCTCTTAAAAATCTCCAGTGATGGAGATTCCACAACCTCCCTAGACAATTTATTCCAGTGCTTAACCAGTCTGACAGTTAGGAAGTTTTTCCTAATGTCCAACCTAAACTGCCCTTGCTGCAATTTAAGCCCATTGCTTCTTGTCCTATCCTCAGAGGTTAAAGAAGAACAATTCTTCTCCCTCCTCCTTGTAACAGCCTTTTATGTACTTGAAAACATATGTCCCCTTTCAGTCTTCTCTTTTCCAGACTAAACTAACCCAATTTTTTCAATCTTCCCTCATAGGTCATGTTTTCTAGACCTTTAATCATTTTTGTTGCTCTTCCCTGAACTTTCTCCAATTTGTCCACATCTTTCCTGAAATGTGGCACCCAGAACTGGACACAATACTCCAGTTGAGGCCTAATCAGCGCAGAGTAGAGCAGAAGAATTACTTCTCATGTCTTGCTTACAACACTCCTGCTAATACATCCCAGAATGATGTTTTCTTTTTTGGCAACAGTGTTACACTGTTGACTCATACTTACCTTGTGGTCCACTATAACCGCCAGATCCCTTTCTGCAGGACTCCTTCCTAGGCAGTCATTTCCCATTTTGTATGTGTGCAACTGATTGTTCCTTCCCAAGTGGAGTACTTTGCATTTGTCCTTATTGAATTTCACCCTATTTACTTCAGACCAAATATTACTGTTTCTGGAGAACACGACAATGTCTTGTGCAGCTCTGAAGTCATTAAAGAACTCTGAATAGCAAAACCACTCTTACTTCAGTTTCTTGCTGATTTTGGTAAACTCCACCAGGCCTGCTTCCATGGGCAAGGTCAGCTGTCCTGCTGAAATCATAAGTCTGCAGTCTTCAAAAGTATGGTCTGTAACTGGCAAATTCAAAGCCCTGAAATGCAGTAGAAAAGACAAACATCTGAAAGAGATTTTTGAATCTTACCTTTCCCCCCTGCAAAACCTTCCTCGGTGCTGGTCTCAAAAGGTGATACATAGACAAGATGAGAATTTATCCTTTCACCACTTAAGCGGGTCAAATTCTGTTCATAGTTACGCCAGTGCAAATCCACAATCATTACACTGGAGTCAAGACAATTGTTTGAGATTTACACTGTTGGAACAGAGCAGAATTAGGCCCATTAATCACAGTACAGAAAACTGAATCTGTGCCCTTATGTCTTGTCATGCAAATGATTACCCCAGCTTTACACCAATTAAATGCATTATAGTGGAGCACAGAACAATTAAACTTATTACTAGTCAGTAATAATTAGCCAATTTGGCACTGTCTAGTTACAGAGGCTTTTACACCTTATACAATTAATTTAGAGATTCAAATACAAAACCTAGGACTCAGGTGAATCATGGCTTTGTCAACCACTCCCTGAAATATTTCAGATCTCTAAAACAGTTCAAAATATAGTTGAACCAGTGCCCAGGCTATATAAGAACAATTCTTGGTAAGCACGTGAGAATTTTTTTTTATATGGATACATACGTTGCCATGATATTACGGACTCTGTTGGCAAAAAGAGAAGGATCCTTTTTCTCTTCCTCAGTAGGAACATGAACAGGTAGAAACTGAAAAATATAATTTATTCAGTAATCTGCACAGCCACTAATTTATTACTGATAGCGTTTTGCATCATAAAGGAGAAAAAAATATCAGTCAAGCAATTAAGTAATCAGCCACTAGAGGTCTCCATAGCCTTAGAAACAACTCAGGTTTTTTTACTTACCCAAACAAAACACTACACAGCAGATTATTTGTAGATTTGTGGCTGCTACATGTTGGTTTAGTGAGATCTGTTGTAGCTGCTTTAATATGAAATCCAAAACCAAAGGGGTGAATAGCCTAAAAACACAGTTCTTCATAAAATTAGGAGTTGAGCTCCAGTATTTGGGCCTCAGGGACTGTACGCACACTTTCAAAACTGTGTGCTAAATACCTAGGTACCTAGTTCTATATTACAACTCAAATTCAGTCTATACTAATGCTAATCTTTTGAACACATATTGATGCTGCAGCTAAATTGTAGAACTTTGAGGACTGGTATTCTATATTTTGTTTTTGGAAAAGGGCAGATGCCCCAACAATAGTGACATGGAGAAATAAATGACTGGAAATCTTTCCAATGAAAATAAAATGATAAATGGTCTTATTTCAGGATAAAGTCAATTTTATAATATATGCTTGCTATTTTTGGAATATGAACAAAATTAATACACAGATAAGATAAGAGGCTGAGCAAACACAAATGAATCTTACAAAGATCTTTTTTTAAATATTTGTCAATAATGATAAAATAAAAAGTTAAATTTGTCAAAACGTCATTATATGACTATCCATTCTTCTGCTCTTTTTCTGTAACAACTGGCGATCAACCTAGAGTTAGATAAAAATTGTGTTCTTTCTTAGGTGTTTTTGTCTTCTGATCCACAGCACTCAAGAAATAGGTAGTAAATAGACTGAGAATTAAGTTAGACATATTTGGTTGAGAGAAAATGTCCAGAAGATGGGTTCTGGACCCCAGAATGGGCATTACTAGCAAAAAACGTGAAGTGAGTTGTATGCTACTATTTGAAACAGTTGAGTCGTTATCCACTTTGGGGGCATACATATTCATAAATTTAATGGATTTATTTAACTAATTTGAAGCTGAGTGTTTAAAGACTTACAACTAATTCAAAGTTCCAAATGGAAAATCTGGGTCCTAGGGAAAACAGGTGGTGTGCAGATATCCCTGAAATAGCTTGTGTCCCCGAAATATTGAGTAGATTTATTATGAAATTATAAGAAGGGTTATTGTATTGGAGTAAAAAGAAAAGGAGTACTTGTGGTAATTTATTAGAAAAGTAAGAAGCATTATCAATTATATTCAACTTTCTCAATCACTAGGGCATCTCCAAAAGGTCAGGACTTGGTAACTTAGTTTACAAGTCCATTTTGAACTATTAGCACATCGTCATAAATGTGCATAATTCTACTACCACAATAAAAGTCAGTCTTTATTCTGAGACATCAAATAAAGAAAAAAAATGAGTGAATTTGCATCAGAGTGAACATAATGTCTTTCTTGTTATTAAAAGAGACATCAATGTTTGCCGTTAAGGGTTTCAATAAATGCACTATTAGCATCTGTGATTCTTTATAACAAGTCAACAAAGGAGCACAAGGAAAATGGGCTTGGCTTGCATAAATATAGTTGGCTTCCGTATAACGCAAACAGGCAAAAGTTCATTTTCAAAGCAATGTGATGGGAAAGGGATGCATAACTGCTGTTTAATTCAGTGTGATGTTTGCACATAGTCCTGTATATTAATTGAGTAATTTGCCATATAACGGTTTCTGTTACTCATTTGTCATATATTGTTTGTGCTCTCTGTATAAACACAGCGCTAACAGTCAGAGTTTTTTTTTGCAGTTTGGTGAGCCGTCTCCTTCCTGATGCCTGTGTGCAGTAATGCACTGGCTTACTGCCTGCGAGCACGTCTTTTCAAGTGGCTGTAACAACCAACCACTGACTCCCCGCTAAAGGAGTGCTCTCAAATGGCAGGTGTTCAAGAGGCAGAGGTCTACGCTTCTGGCATTGAAGGTCCTAGAGCTGATCCTTGAGGACAACAATACACTTTGTTCTCAGTCCGATACCCCACCCTGCCCATTATTAAGTTAACTCCTCCTCCCCAACGTGTCCTGAGTGAAATAGTGGGTAACTCTCTTGGGCTAACAAAGCAAAGCACTGACATCCTCTGCTGTCACAGTTATTCACACTATGCAGGCACTCAAGTAGGATGAAGTCAGAACACATTTGAACAATCCAAAAATGTGAACCAAAGACATGATTAATCTACATAAGCCTGCTTGTTTGGGTCTCAGGTCCTTGTATGAAGGAGCAAGCTTACTCTTCACCAGCTACGACTACACCTCTACCTCCTCCAAAGGCAATGGTGATGTTTGAGGCTCACTGCATGTGACTTGCCCATAACCACACACACTCAGGAGAAGGACTTGATTTAATTTCTCCCATCTGTGACTGGGGCTAGCACAACTACTTTCCAGGTGATGATGAATAAATACTCTCTTCTAGTCAGAAATTCCTGAGCAGTGCAGAGGGAAATTCCAGCCCTGCAAGATAAAATCCTTTTAAACTCACTCAAGTAATGAAAATACCTCCCTGACCTATTTTTGGCCTTCTCCCTCCCTCCTATGCTATTTACCATGTATATCTTTTGCAATAAGTCTGCCTATCAGATTCTAAGCTTAACTGTTTCACGTTCAATATATACAATTCAGTGGAATATGTTCATGATATGTTCTTAAAATACAACTGGTACATTGCTGTGCATCTCTGCACAGAAATATATGGAAGCTCATGGTGATGTCTAATTTATTTTAATTCATTTATTAATTCAATTTCTTTCTCTCCTGAGGGGAGATGCAGACAGTAAAATGCTTCATGTCTAATTTTTATAACTTTAAAATTTGAGGGCAGATTTGTTTTATTACAGGTGCACTAGCATTAAATTCTGAGACAGCAAGAGTCCTTTTTAAAAAAATACACAGAACGTTAACTATTTTCTTTCTTTACATGTCTAATAAAGACATTTATTCAAATGAGTTATTCTTGTGTAAAACCACAGTAATTGAAAGGAGAATCAGGCCCACAGTATTTGCATACAAATATAAAATAGGTATGCTGTATTTTCTTTTGCATTACACAGCAATTCATGCATATTAATACCAACAAGGGAACTTGCTAAGTCACATCAACTCCTGGGAGACCCATGGCTAAGTCTTAAATTTTGAAAATAAACAGACAGAGACTGTATTCCACCCAAATCAACTTTGTTCTTCTATTTAACAAGTATAATTTAGCTTACAATATTTGTTAGTACTTCCTGGTATATTATTAAGTGTTGTGTAGAATCCTTTGCCAAAGTAATTTAGCTGTAATGAGATAGCCCCTCACTATTACACTTGGTTAGTAAGTCTCTGCTCGGAAGTGAGTGATCCATTTTTGTGTTCATCAAGATCTGAGACATGCATATATTTTTCTCTCTCTTATCAGATACAACTGTTTGTACCATACATGTTAATAAAGTTAAGAGTAAGCAATAAGACAACAGGTTCATTAGACAAGGTACGCTCTTTTTTGAGAATGAAAACACTCAGTTTAGTCACTGAATTCCTTAAAAGTATTTAGCTCTGAGCTATAGGGAAGTATTAGTGTAAACACGTTACACAGATCACATGACAACTGCCGCGTGACGAAGTCGGTATAGATAGCATTCTACTGCCACTCCAGGGTGGCAGTGAGGGAGAACAAGTTATTTTGTAATTCAACCTGTTCAGTCTTTACAAGAACAGTGAGTCCAAATGTTTGTGAACAATGGTATTTAATTGTGATTTTATAACAAATACCCTTTCGACCCTTCTACATATGGGCTTTTGTCAAATTAAAAGACTTGTCAGCACGGGCAGCAGATTCAGAGCTGTACCTACCATGTTTCCCTGTCAGGTGAGCTAATCTATTAAGACAAGAACTGCACTTTTTTCCAAAAGACATTTGTTTACTGGTAGATATTGATAAAAAAAATACAGGAAGAATAGGTTTATCAAAAAAATCCAAACTTAATAACGTTTCTCCAATTCTTACCTCAATTTCTATCCTGGTGAACAGCTGGCAAAAAGTCATCACACAAAGTTGTTTGCTGGGGAGGGGGGAAAAGATTTATTTTTTTTTAAAAAGTAATCTACTTTCAGCTGACTTGCAAATACCTTTTGTTAACATTTTTTCAGTGTCTATTTTTGGCAATAATCTCTATATGCCCTGAGCTGCGCTTTCTTGAGATGCTGCCTTAGGTTTTCTTCCTCGTAGCGCTGGTTCCTGCTCCTATTAAAGTTAGTATTTATGCTGCAAGTTCTTTGGAGCAGAGAACATGTTACACTTTCTAGTGCCATATGCATTTACAGCACTATATATGTAGTTATCACACACATTCACCGTGCTTTATATAAAGTTGAGAGTTCACATCTTGCTAGCAATTATTTTGTTTTTTTGTAAAAACGTGGCTGAAGATGCATTAGGGGACACAGCGAATCATGACTTGATGACTTTCTGGAAGATGATATTCAAACCCAACCTGTTTGGCTCATTACAGAAGTAACTGGTCTGTGTCATGCAGGAAGGCAGATTAGATGATCTAACAGTTCCTTCTGCACTTAATCTATGAATTTGTAAGAGGTGAAGTTTAGTGGCTTGACAAACAGGAAATCCTGAGTTTTAGCCTTGGCTCTGGCTCTTAACCCTGTATGAGCTTCATCTCTGTGTGTGTTTGTTCTCCCATATGAAAAATGAGGCTACTACCTATTGACTTCCCTCCCAGGAGCAGAGGGAGGACTGGTTAAGATTTTACAGGTATGTGGATTTTTCACATTTCCAGTACCATCTAAATGCTAACCATTATTATAACAAGAAACCACCAGTGCACTTTGGGTCTTGAATGCTTTAAAAGGCAGTATGAAGTTTTAACACGGGGGAAGTTGGGAAATGAGGTACAGTTAACCACTTCCACATTTGACTGCAAAAATGTTCATTCTGTTAGCACTTTCAAGCTGAAAGAGAGAAGCATTTACTTGTAACCTTAAATAAAGGCAAATTCTACAGAAAACTTTATTCTGTTTGGGAAGAGTTTTCTGAGAAGGACGGGGAGAGAGAAGAGGTGGTGGAGTGGGAGGGCCAGCTGGACCTTTCTTATGAATTTTAAACAGCTGACTTGAATTTATAAAACAATTTTAGGCTCCTATCCCACAAGTTAAAAGAGTGACACAAAAGGTCACTCCCTGGTCACTCAATAACAGACCTAACAGTGGCAATTCTTCAACAACAAAAACTTCAAAAACAGACTCCAACGTGAAACTGCAGAACTGGAATTAATTTGAAACCTGGACACCATCAGATTAGGTCTGAATAAAGACTGGGAGTGGCTGGGTCATTACAAAACCTAAACCTAATTTCCCCAATACTAATTTCCCCCTACTGTTAGTCACACCTTCTTGTCAACTGTCTGAAATGGGCCACTCTCATTACCACTTCAAAAGTTATTCTTCCTCCCTTGGTATCCTGCTGTCAATTGAATTGTCTCGTTAGACTGACCTCACACTTGATAAGGCAACTCACATCTTTTCATGTATTTATACCTGCTCCTGTATTTTCCACTCCATGCATCTGATGAAGTGGGTTCTAGCCCACGAAAGCTTATGCCCTAATAAATGTGTTAGTCTCTAAGGTGCCACAAGGACTCCTCGTTGTTTTGCTGATACAGACTAACATGGCTACCCCTCTGAAAGAAAAGGAGTGAGTGAAAGCAGAATGTGGGTGGACAGGTTTCAGGAGGGGCCAAGAAGTGCTCTACCAAATGCATGCCAGCGCTGTAAGATGCAATCGATTAGCTCTTTTATTAGACCTTCCTCCACTATTTCCAGACTGAGTAACAAGGGAGACATTATTCAGGATATAATGAAATTTCATTCAAGGGCCTACAGAGTCTAAATCACCCCTTCGCCTCTGCTCTCATTTCCCGCTATTCTTCCCCATTCACCCCCACCCCTGCTTTTCCCCAATCGTCTTCCCTTCATCCTCTCCTCTCAAAGTCTGCTTCAGTCCTTCAGTCATGTTTCCACCAGTGCTCATATCTACTCTGGCAAATCTTAAGTTCTTTGGTCACATCCTAGTGTTTGTGCCATCATAAGGGTTTGTGCCAGCAAGAGAAGTGAGAGCAACTAACAGAGGAACACAGTATGGGAAGCAGAAGAAAGAGTCTTGCTACATAGAGCTAGTCATTCTCCCATACTCTCTGGTTTACTAATTGGCCCCCATGGAGGGAGGTTTTTTTTTAATGCTATTATCAGTCTAAAGAGGCTTCCTTTCTAGTTTAAAAAAATGTCATATTTGAGTAAGGAGTGCAGCTTTAAAAGGTTTGATTACATTTTCAGTTATTCAAGTATTAAATCTAGGTTTTCAGTTTTACCTCTGTGTTTACACCCACCTATGCCATTTCACGTTGTCCTTTTAAAAAAGAAAGTAATATTCTATTAAAACAAGAAGGAGTCCGGTGACACCTTAAAGAATAACAGATTTATTTGGGCATAAGCTTTCATGGGTTAAAAAAACCCACTACTTCAGATGCATAGAGTGAAAATTACAGATGCAGGCATAAATATACTGACACATGTAAGAGAACTCCCTTCTCTTCAAGTGGAGAACCAGTGTTAACAAGGCCAATTCAGTCAGGGTGGATGTTGTCCACTCCCAATAATTGATGAGGAGGTGTCAATACCAAGAGAGGGAAAATTGCTTTTGTAGTGAGCCAGCCACTCCCAGTCCCTGTTCAAGCCCAAATTAATGGTGTTAAATTTGCAAATGAACTGCAGCTCTGCAGTTTCTCTTTGAACTCACCTCGTCATCAATTATTGGGAGTGGAGCATATCCACCAACTGAATTGGCCTTGTTAACACTGGTTCTCCATTTGTGAGGTAACTCCCTTCTCTTCATGTGTCAGTATATTTATGCCTGCATCTGTAATTTTCACTCCCTGCATCTGAAGAAGTGCGTTTTTAACCCACGAAAGCTTATGCCCAAATAAATCTGTTAGTCTTTAAGGTGCCACCAGATTCCTCGTTGTTTTTGTGGACGCATGCTAACATGGCTACCCCTCTGATACTTAATATCCTATTAGTTTATCCTCATGTTCCTTTTAAAACTCCATTCAGTTCATTTACTTATGCTTTTGTTAAATAAGTTCTGGGCTTTTCCATGTGTATTGTGCAATTGTGTGCCCAGATATACAATTCTGGCAGATCCCATTAGCACCCATTTGTTTCCAGCATTTTCTTTTAAATGTATTTGGAAAATTCTTTTTAGCATCATCCCTTCCTAGGACATGTGAAATAATTGGCTTAAGAAATGACTTGATGGATATGGTCTAATTACAAGGATCTAGAATAATTTTGTATAGAAGAGATGCTCTGGAACAAAGGGAAAGCACACTGTTGATGTTGACATTAGTCAAACTGAATGGGAAGTAAGATTTTGAGGATTCAGTTCTTGAAGTCCCTTTGCAGACTGCCTGTTTACAATATCCCAATCTTTTCACCTATTTCTCTGATAAATCTGACCCATACTTTTCATTAATCTTAATATTCTGGTGTGCCCACGACTGTGACATCCAAGGTGTCACTCTTCAAATGCAACTTGTTTCTTAAGGCAAGAAAAATAATGCTTAGCCCTAAATCCAGGGCCAGGAAGAGGAAAAGATGATCAATGTAACTGCGGTAACACTTCTTTCATTCAAAGTGGTTCAGAAATTGAGTCTCAAGTAATCTGCATGAAAGTGAAGACTGTTCTTCTTGTAAAGTGTCTGTTTTATTGTTCTTGAATAGAGTTCTTAAGTTTATGGGGAAGAAAGAGCAGTTTCTTGAGTGACTCAAGCCACTTGAGGTAATACAAACCCATCCACTGTATTTATTATTTTTATTACCTTAGCATCTAAGTAATAAACTAAGATAAAAAAAATACCTGTATGCAATAAGGCTCATGTAAAAATCACACACATTCAAAGCCTATAAAAAAAATCTACATTCCATCCTTCCAACAGCAAATCCAGTATGCGATTATATGAACAAAACCAAGCATTTTCACAGGACCAACTCACACCGAAGACAGTGGTTGCCTGGGACTATTAAAATTTAAAAAAAAATCAGGACACTTGCTTAGGAGTGTTTATAGGAACCTGTTTTTGAAAATCTTGGCCTTAAATCTTAGCTGCTATTAAGAAAATTCTACTTTCTCTACTCGACTTTCAAAAAAGAAAATCTTTATCATGTACAAGTTGTGTGAATGGAATTTTCTGGAACCAGTGTCCAGGCTGGACAAAACATTAGAGGAAATTCCTTCATTAGCAATGAGAAGAACTAGATCTTCAACTGGTAAGACTGCATCAAATATGTAAATACTAGAATCAGCCAATGACAGAGGACACCATGACTAAAATGCTCCTAAAATATACTTAAGTATAGTTCTCCTTGGTTATTTCATGTAAATGTGGAAAGAAATTCTATACTACATTGGAATTTTAATGCATTTTCATTTCAGTACTACTATATAATTATAAGAATTTTACAAAACTATACACAATGTTTCTACTGAGGTTTTATAAATAAAATATATGACATCAAATATTTAAGCTTTAATCTGCTCAATTGCATGAGCTCAATTTAGAATCATTCTTATTAGAAAGCCACCTTCGTTAAGCTATTGACCTTTGTTGGCCTCTGAGGGTGTCCCTTGAAGAGTTTTCACTTTTAGTATCTGAAATCAAAGAGATCTCTCTTCACTGGAATCTCCTAAAGCTAAAGGCACTCTTGTTTAATTGTGCAAGATGAAAAGTACTGTAAGGGTCTGAATATAGAAAGAACGTCTCTCTGTATCTGATGGAGGAGAGGAAGAGATGTTTGCTATGTCCTGGCCTCTTTATCTACTGTATGTTGGGGTGAAACTTCAAGTCAGACAGAGAAATGAGTATGCTGGAGGTTAAAATGGCACCAAAGAAGATAAAAATAAAGTAAGTTGCTGATGCCTGTGATTTTTCAGTAGTGACAGTCCAAAAGAAAAAGGAAACAAAAACCTTAAGAATTTCACTTCCATGTCTGCTTCATTGTAACATGTGAAAAAAACAAAAGCAAGGAGAAGACTAACCAAATCAACTTTTGACAATATGCAGTTATTTAACTGCAACATTTTTCTCTTCTATAACAGTTATTATTCTAGTGTTACAAGCAACCAGAAAATCCAGAATTGAACTTTTTTTACCATCTGTAGGAACCATTCGGATCTAACTACATTGCAAAAGTCTGTAAGCAGTCAAGCCTTAGACTATTCACTGGACACTCTACTGCAGGGGCAGAAGCTTTGCATTTATAAAATTTAATGCTAGAATAACTGGAAAGAATTATTCGAGAAATGTTACGAATGCAATGCACCTGCAGCTACACATACAATAGGGCTCGGTTTTCCTCCACTTTCACTCTTTGCACACCAGCTTAAAACTCCTGACTTCACTGGAGTGACTCCAGATTGAGACCAGTATAAGCAAGAGGATCCTCAGGGTGATATAACTGGAAAATGACAGATCCTTATAGGACAGAAAAATAAAACAAGTACAAAATTTGCTGCCATAATAATACCTAGCTCTTTTTATCAGTAGATCTCAAAGCTCTTTACAAAGAAAATTATCCCCTTTTTAATAGATGGGGAGACTGAGGCACAGAGAGAGTAAGTTATTTGCCCAAAGTCATCCAGCAAACCAGTGGCAGGGTCAGGAACAGACCCAGGTGTCTTGAACACCAGTTTAGTGCTCTATCTACTAAAAGATTAAACATTGGAGCCTCTCACATAATGTCAGTGTGACCCCCCCAAATACATGCCATTAGAAGAAGAAACCAAGAAATGTGTTCCTGTGGATTTAACAGGGCTGGTTTGCTCATTGCCAGTGTATTTATTAATGGGAGAAGTTCCTGTATTAATGGGAGAAGTTTTAATAGGGTTAGGAAACTTACAATGAATAGCCTTGCCATGTCCAGGTCACAGTATCCTAACAAAAAACAAAAAAACAGAAATGTATGACAAGTCAAGCCAGAGGGGAGAACAGACATGATACAACAGAAAATTATAAGCATACAATTGTGAAGCAGAGGATGTTTTACTGTCTTATTAAAAAAGAAAAGAATGTTAATGTGACCGGAATCCTTAGCCTTATAAATATCTTCACCAGCTGCATTTTTGTCATATGAAAAAGGAAACAAGTGTGCCAAGAGAAAAGATTAAACCCATGCATTAGTTTGCCCACGCAATTTTGTACTGACTGATGTTTTACATCACCTAGATTCTTACTGAGCTCCCATTAAAAGACTTCACTGGGAGTTGACATGAGCTCTATAAAAGGCCCTAATTATAATCTACTCCTTGTCTTCCAGGAACAGCAGCTTTACACCGTGGTTTGGTAGTTCTGCTTGAGATCACAGCACTATCTGTGCCAGAACATCGTTCTAGGGTATACATGGTCTTGCCTAATTCCTGCTTTAGAAAGGAATGCCTTCCATTTATGCAAAACCAATCCTTTATTACTGCTTCACTCCAGTGTTTTAAAGTTGACCTACAAAGGATACCAAAAGGGGAGGGGCGGGGGGAGTTGAGGGGCTTGTGCTACTTTAGGGCCTGAAAGGCTGGGTCAGTTTGTTTGGTTTAATTAAGAACAAATTCTGCTTGTTTTTTCATCATAGAAATGTTAGGAATGTGAAGCCTTGATCTTCTGTGGTTTTGCTGGAGGACCAGTGAGAGGCACTAAGCTCTTATCTCCCTAAAGCAGGGGACACAAATGTGGAATCTTCAACAAATGTTTCATTTATTCTGAAATATTAATCCCTGAGGTCAAACAGATGTTATTTTAAACAGTCTGACGAAGATTATCTTCTCCCACTTAACAGTAGTATTTTTTATAGGATATTTTTTATACTATTTTTACTTCTTTAGCACGCGTGATCTCATCATTTACACAAGGCTCTCCAGTCATCAAAGGGTCTTCCAGCCTAGACCGGAAGTTGAAGCCAGACAAATTCAGACTGGACATAAGGCGTAAATTTTTGATTGGGCGGGTAATTAACCATCAGAACAATTTACCAAGGGTTGTGGTGGACTTTCCATCACTGACATTTTTGAAATCAAGATTGGATGTTTTTCTAAAAGATCTCCTGTAGGAATTATTTTGGGGAAATTCTATGGCCTGTGTTATACAGATCACACTAGATATTCAGTATGGTCCCTTCTGGCCTTAGAATCTATTAATCTAGACAGCATCGGAATTTCTAGTGTAGAAACATACAGAAATTTTAAAAACAAAAACCACCAACAGTGTATTTCAGGCCTTCTTTATACAGCACAAAGAAGCTAAAGAAAGGCACGAGCCCATATTTTTTTCTTTTCCCAATCATCTTGTATAGAATCAGACCAGGGATAATCACAGCTTAGTTGAAATGATTTTTTTAAATTGTTGTTGCAGGCTGTTCTTATCTTCCCACCATCACATCCGTACTGAGCATAGTTAGAAAGAAAAGGAGCCCTAAACAGAAACAAAATGTGGTGCACATTTACCCTAGTTCTCATAAATAGAGGATGACTATACTGTAGATTAAAATTTACCAAAACCATGCTCTAAAGTGTCCCTAGCCTCTGTTTGCCAGAAGCTGGGAATGGGTGACAGGGGATGGATCACTTGATGATTCCCTGTTCTGTTCATTCCCTCTGGGGCACCTGCCATTGGCCACTGTTGGAAGACAGGATACTGGACGAGATGGACATTGGTCTGACCTAGTATGACCATTCTTATGTACTTTGTAAATCCAAGAAAGGCTAATTTACCTATAGTATTTCACTTTTTAACTCTGTAAAGCTGCTTAATACATTTTCAAACTTCTCATTTATAAGGACACAGATTTACCCTATTAATATTTTATGGACAAGATTGCCAATTTATACCTTATTCTCAACACCCTGAATTTACTGACTGCCTCATTAAACTGCTTTTTATACTTTTAGCTTCCTCCTCCAACTTCCGTACAATGACTGTTGTCTTTAAGGTCATTTCCTCTTTATAAATGATCTGGTGTTTTTTTTAAGTTTTAAAACTCTGTACTAATCTACTTCCATCCATAGATGTCAAAGTGCTTTACAAAACATCCCCATGTGACAGGTGGGCAGGCTAAGGCAAGGCAAGATGTAGATACATTCAGCATACCAGTGGCAAAGGCAGGAATGGAACTCAGATCTCTGACTTGCTGGCCATTCCCCAAACACAACTAGCCCATGCTTCCCCTCCCTTTATTGCCTGTCCCCTCCTGCCCATTGCCCTTAGAATGATCAAACTCAGCCTGGGATGTGAAAAGTAACTTCCTCTTTTTGCCTCTTCCACATCATCAATTAATAAAAATTCTACAACAGGAATGCAGCTGAATTCCACTGGTGCTGCATGAGGAAGACTAGAACCCTGCTCAATCACTTACAGCTGTATTGGCTCTGCAGGGCTAGCAGGAACAGAAAGGTGTTTGTCGTCAAAGTTCATTGTATCTATACTGTTCCATTATTAAGCAAGGGACTGACAAAACTGTCACACAAGTAAACAGACAAAGGGAGCATTTATATTATAGATGGAGGCAACATTTTTACATCGCTTGATCAAAGCCACTTATGTATTAAAAGCACTCTCCATTAAGATAGCTGCAGTGATCACCTCATGGTATCAATTTCATGCATTTGAAAAAAGACTTTGTCTACCTCTGTATGCCAGAGAAGTTACTATAGAAAATACGCTTGTAAGAAGGTACAAACTGATTCAAAATAACAAGGTCTGACCATATGTTCAATTGGGTTATGGCCTTCTTGCCTGTTTTTTCCCTTTTGACCTCGTTTGCCGAACCTTGCTGTGATAAAATACTGGAATCTTAACAGAAGAGAACACCAGCAGAATTTTTGATGTACTTTGGGGAAATCTGAGATTCAAGAGGCGGACACTGTGGCTTGGCAGAAAACTTCCAACTTCCGCTATAATCAAACTACTTTTGCTTACTGTTTTACTTAAGCTGCATCTAAAACCAAAGAGCCCAGCTACCAGGGGTTTCACAGCCCGAGTAGCAACAGCCCAGGTTTGATGCTAAAAAGACCCTGGCTTCTTACATTAGCTCTCAAATGCTACACAAGTGATTCCCATTCCTGGGTCTCTGAAGGAGGATTCTGCTTTGAAACACTGGGAATGAGAAGTCCTTGTGGCACCTTAGAGTAACAAATTTGTTAGTCTCTAAAGTGCCACAAGTACTCCTCGTTCTTTTTGCTGCTACAGACTAACACAGCTGCCACTCTGAAAACTGTGGGAATGAACTGGGTACCTGATCAATTGTGTATGGAACAATACGACTGGAGGAATTAAGGAACACAAACATATTTGGACAGCCTTGTGAACAAATATGGCAATTTCCTGCAATACCCTGGAGAAACATTATAGGATGAAGTTAAACCTTACTGAATCAAGTTTAAGAATAAGAGTAGTTCATTGCATTAAAAATGCAAACACTGATGTACTATTGTGGGATTGTATCTAATGTCTCTGGGGGAAGACAGGATTAATGCAAAGCATGGGAAATGTTAGGGGCTTCAAAGGACTATTTGAAACTATTTGAACTTTTAAAGTTAAGTGAGTTTCCAGGAAATCTCTAGGGGGACGTATACAGGCAAATGTGCCCCCTTCAGTTATGCAAGAACTCAGCCTTTTGAAGCTTCGCCCTGAGGAGGACACCCATGGTCTACAAATTGCCTATTCCCAGATCAAAGACCCAAACTGCACACAGCAATGACTTACAGATTCATGGGGTGCTTGTTTTGAGCTAACAGCAGCTATGAACTTATGACCACAGCAAACCCTTTGGTGGGGTCTGAAAGACTGTTTTACCTGCCAGAGCCCTTGTTGGAGCTGAGGTGATCTCTGGTAAGCGTATTAGCATGTGTGTAGATTCTTTTATTGTTTTTAATATACTTTCTCTGTAATACTTTCACCTTAAAGGTGCTTGCTCAAGAAGAGCTGGGTGGTAACTTAACTGTGGGCAATTATGCTGCTTATAGCCCCCGAGGAAGGAAGGCAGAGCAGGCCTGCTGAGGCACTCTGCCTTGCTGGGGAATTCACAGTGTAGGAAGGGATCTGTGCAGCCTGGAAATACCCAGGACAGGAAGGAGAGAGATGCATGTCTCTGCCCAAGAGATGATGGTTGTGGAGCTGGAACCCTGCGAATGGGTGCTCTTGCTGGACCATGAAGGGGGAATACAGATGCAGGTGCCTGCCCTGGACTGTGACAAGCCTCACTAAATAGGTAAAGAAAATACAGCTTCATATGTCCCAGCTATCAACCCACTCAGTGTTGGTCCAACACACTGAGCTGTATTTATAGACGGTTTACACAAAAGCTACTGCAAAGGAAGTTTGGATACTTTGCATGTTACCACAACTGATCAAGATTCTGATGCCTGTTGCAAACTACACATCCTTAAATTCAGGACTAAAACCATGCATTGCGTATGCTGCATGAACACATAATGCTGCATTATCAAAACTATTACAAGGATAAGCACATTTTTAAGATTACTTCTGCTTATCATGAAAAATGATAAAAATGCCTTTTAAATGTGTGACAAGACAAAAAAATTCATATGAATAATCAACCATAGTTTTTCTTCATTACTATATCTTGCAACACCTATTTTATCAACCTATTTTCCAGAGACAGATTCTCAACAAACAAACAAAAAGATGTACTCTACAGATTTTAAACTGTTTAATTATTATTGTGGTTTGTACTGTGGAGCCCTAATCGAAGCCCAGGAGCAAGCTGTGCAAGGCGTTGTACAAACACAAGAGGAAAAACACCCTACCCCAAGCAGCTTAGAAGCTAAGTAATAACGTATTGCTAACTTGTGAAAGCAAAAACTTGCCAGTTACTTTATACTGTGTTATTTCACTCCCTAAATTCATCTAAGTATCCCCTCTATTAAGTGCAGGAACTTATGGAAGACACGGCTAATAATGAGTTGACATTCTCCAAGAAAAAGTTAGCAAGTTTTTAAGAGACTTTTATGCGAGGTCTTACAAGCATTCAATCGACTTCTTTTACTGTCAAATGCCACAACAGAAATGGTGGCATGCTACTTGTCTGGTACCTTCAAGTGGGGAAAACAATTTCTGTAATCTTCCCTGTGTACAGTAACTTCTGTCTCCCACCTGGAATTTCTGCCCCTTCCTGCTGTAACATTTACTTGTGCACCCTTCATTTCCTCCAAACAAAACTACCAAAAAACTGATTTTCCAATCCTCTTATTCTTAATAAAAAACCTATTGTGAACTGCACTGGGCCTTTGCCCCCTAACTTAATTTGAACCTACACACTATGTTGCAATGGGCATGTAATGAAACGTTGGCAACTTCCCTGCGGAAGTCAGCTGAAGGACATCGTTCTACACCCTGTTGCAGTAGTAAAATTACACTCATGTCTAGCATCGTAATCATACGCTTCGCGAGTTAACCGCATGGGAAGAAGGCTTAGAAAAAAAGGTGGGGGGCGAAAGTTCACCAACACAGGTGTGGGTCCCACTGTGGTAACTGGGGGGAAACACCATCAGAGGAGAGTACTGGCATCTAAGGGCAAGTCTAGGCCACAGTGCTACACTGGCACAGCTGCACCGCTGTAGCGTGCCTGGTGGAGACGTGCTACGCCAACAGGTGAGTGCTCTCCCGTCGGCATAATTACTCCACCTCAGTCGGAAGCGGAAGCTGTGTCGGCAGGAGAACGTATATAGGGCAAAACTTGCATCGCTCGGGGGGGTGCTTTTTCACGCCCCTGAGCAACGTAAGTTAGGTCGACTTAAACAGTAGCATAGACCTGCCCTAAAAGACACAGGACACAAGTGATCCCACTCCCCGGCCCCCACCTCAAAAATGTTTGATCCTTCTGGTGGTGGTGGGGAGAGAAAGAGGGGTGGCACACAGGCAGCAGAAAAACAGGAGTGTACTAGCCTACACCACTGTAAGTTAGGTGTATTACAGCAGTCATAAATTAAGCCTCAGGGAAGAAGAGCACATCACCCGGACCACAAATACAAGCACATCTATTTCAGCTTAATTAATTACAATGAAGAGCATTAAATGTCTGCCTTGGGGGTTTTTTGAGCTTACTCAGGGAGAAGAATTGCTCTAACAGCTACAAGAACTTGGAAAGATAGGGTGGCGGAGAGTGGAAGTAAAACTGAATCAGAAGTCCCCAAATTCCCATATGCTAAATACTTGTAGCTGCCTGCTCGTAAGGAATGAAAGTTACCTTAATTAGCTGTGACAGGTAATGAGAAAAATGTATTTAATTATATGTTTATTTAAGACCAGGGTGATCTCCTGGCCCCACTAAAGTCCATGGCAAAACTTCCATTGATTTTAATAGGGCCAGGATCTTAGCCAAGTCCAATATAGGCCCACTGAAGTCAAAGGGAACCTTTCCAGCGATTTCAGTAAGCTTTGGATCAGGATCTAATTATATTCAGGAGGCCATGGCTTTAGTCAGCTTACTTCCAATCTGATGTAAAACATTTAGCTGTGTAAATATTAAAGGACTTTGTTCTTCCTTCAGTATTCACTCCTGTTGACTTTTGCCACCTTGTCATTGGGGTCTGATGCAGCCACTGCACTGGTGGCATTCTTTTATATGGGACAATTCAGAGGAGGGAGAAAAAATGAAAGAGTGTTTTGGTTTTTTTTATTAAAACATAGAAGTAAGAGCGAAGAGACCAGAATTCTATTCCCAGCTCTGCTACTCACCCCCTATGGGACCTCGGACAAATTGTCTCAGTTTCTTCATCTGTAAACTAGGGGTAACATTTACCCTACCTTCCTCACTCGTGTTGTGAAGGGAAGTTCATTTTTATATATGTACGTTTCTTGAGTTTCTTGGATGCAATGCAAACTATTATTCTTATGTACATGTGAGAAGAGTGGCAGTGATTTTTGCCCCACGTATCAGAGGAAGTAGTAGTATGGGAATTACATACGTGAATCGAGGGTTAAAAGTATCCTCAAGTTTATCAGCCACATAAGTATTTCAGCAGGCTGGAACCAGATGTGCAATCGAGGACAATTCTTAAAATTCCATGCACGCCTAATAAAAAGGGTTAGTGAGAGGCAGTGCACTCTCTTTATTTGCGGCCTTCTAGTAATTATCTTATGAAACTATTTCAAAGGTTGTTTCTCTTAATGGGTCACAATTGGTCTCCCCCCCACATTACTGTGAAAGATACATAACCAGAAGTTGGCATGCAGCTTTACAGAACACAGATAAAACACGGTTTCTGTCGCAAAGCTAATCAAGTTATGACATATTACAATTAATTTAACGAGTGTGAAACGACAAAAAGGAAAGCAGAGTTTATTATTCTAAATAATTTAATTGGGCCGGCGGCATAACATAACTGCACTGGAGGAGGACATAAGCGTTTCTTATGGTAAATTTATTTGTATCTGATTTCCAATTGCATATATGCTAGAATATGGAAAAAGTGTATTAAAAACAATTGGGTTGTTGTTTTCAATTTTTTACAAGACATTGCAAAACCAAATACTAATACTGAAGCGCTAAACGGGACATTTCCAAAGCACATGCTACACTGGTTGCTTCAATATTAGGAAGAATGCAGTAAGCTCATTTGTATTTGGAAAACGTATGTAGAAGTATGAAAAGCAAAGACTAAGCACTCCCCAAACAATAAGACGTAGTTTGAGGGAATTGCTTCCATGTTGCTTGCAGTCAATCAAAGGGAACATGTTGTACATTACTGTTACAAATTTGCTTTTCACCCCTAGTAAACAAAATATAGCAAGAGTGCTCTTAAAGTAGTATTTAATTTCTTAAGCACTTTCTACTGTATTACACTGGTAGGCCCTCAATCTTCAGATGTGCCAAGTGCAATCTTGGTGCAGCCATGAGTAGAAGACTAAGCAACCTTTCTGCCCCCACAGTCCTAGGATAGCCCCTCAGTCTTGCCACACCAAGAAGGAAGAAGAACGATGCAGTAGAGCGAGCTACGCTAGTTTTGCATCACTGGAGGATTCCCCTGTCTCAGGGGAATTCTCAGCCAACCCTTTAAGGCAAAGCAGCTGGGGCCTCTAGGAATGCCTTTAAACTTGATGACAATGGACTGCCTAGAACCTGTGTGTCTTTTAAGAATGTTCTGATTTCTAGCTTTGTAAGTTGCAAAAAGGAGAATGTTCTACTCACCAGTTTGTTTGGATATTGGAGCAGCACCGGTTGCACGGGAACTCCTGGAATAAAGGCTCCTGTAACCAAAAATCACTTTTTAATATACAAACATAATCACTTAAAATTCTTAGTGATTAAGACAAGGGAGGACTGGAGGACAAATAAAACGTAATGGGGAAACAAAAAAAAGAAAAGAAAAATTATCCCCTCACAGTTATTTTTTAAAAGCATGACTAGTCAGATTCCAGATAAAGGAGATCCTCTCTTCTACCAGAACAGAGTTTTAGGTCAGAGAGAAGTGATTCCCTCAGATTTGTGGATTATTTTGAACTAATTTTCTCCCACCTGAATGAACGTCAGTTCCCAAGGGACATAGTCAGTGTTGTTGCAGCCATGTTGGTCCCAGGACATTAGAGAGACAAGGTGAGTGAGGTAGTAAAAGATATTACCCATCTTGTCTCTCCAGTCACCAAGGGAATAATATTGGCTACATGTTCACATGACCATTGGGGAGAATGACAGTCAAGATGGTCACATAATGCTTATGGTCCTTATTTAGTCACATAGGTGCCTATACTAGCATTGTGTGACTTTGGAATAAGGAGCTGTTTTTTCAACGACATAACGTGGGAAACCAGCATAGCTTTGGTAAGCAAGCAGCAGCAAAGACCACTTTCTACTAGACAGTGCCATTATAGAACATCTATTCTGTGCAGCCAATAATCTGTTCTGCTAATCCTGCTAAATATGAACCAGATTAGATTTCATAAATCAGCTGCATGACAAAGATTTTTTTTATTTTTTTCATTACTACCTGAACAAATATACACTGAAGCACTGAGATTACTTCAGTTAGTTGCTCAGCTCTAAATTTCAAAAAAATTACAAGACTACTATTATGAAACTAAACCAAAATAAATGCAATTATTAATTATCCTGCAGGAACCAGTAAAATTCCGAGTAGTTTATGCATTTGAAGCATTACTAAGTATATTAAATGTTAGGGGTTAACTAAATAAAAAACAAATGCACCTCAAATTACAGGAACATTGTCAGGTCAAATCTCCCAGAAGTAGGTTTTGTGAAAATGGGTTTCCACTGTTTATTTTTAATTTTAATGAAGATGCTTTACATAAAACTAAATAGACATTCCTTTGAACTACACAACTATTGAATCATTGCTCTAAAGCATGAAAAAGACACAGTTAAATTGTCTAGAAGCTGCCCAGAAACAAAGTGTAACTAACTAGTCTATTATCATTCTACAAGCTGCTGGAAATTGAAAAAATAAATTCACAGCAAATGGTATAAAGTAGTAGAGGTTTTAAAAACAGTTTTAATAATCTAAGGTGTTACTAGCAGCACAGGTGAAGAAAAGTGGCTTTTTAAACATCCTTGACTTGACAGTACCCTTGCAGACTGTAAATAAACAAAAGAAACCCACTGGTCCAAATTAATATATTTACAAACTGATGAAGTGACTTTGTAAATCATGCCTGTCCATGATTTTCTAACAAAATACATGCAACACAATGTCTCTCACCTTGTTTAAAGGTGATCAGGCAAGAACGATTTGTACAGGTGCCTTCTGGGAAAATCAGTACCTTGGATGGAAAAAAGTGTATATATATTTACATACATATACTTTATACTTCTGCCTTAACAATTTATACATGCCTGAAGGTGTGACTTCTTATTCAAGCTCTCTGAGCTGTCGATGAGCCCTGATACTGCACCACAACTTTATCACTTTGTCAGCAAGGAAATGAAAGAACTAGTGAAGGATGCCAGTGACTGACAGCAATTTTATTCGTCTGGATTTGGAAACAAATGCTTTGTAAGAGAGGGAACTTCTGGGAAGGTCTTTGTCAAGTCTGAAGCAGAGCACAAAAGGCCTCCAATGTTTCCCTTGCAGTATCTAGTGTTGGAAAGAATGAGCGATTGTTTCTTTCTCTGCCAGACGCTCCTTACGGATCTGTAAGCTGAATGAACGTTGAGTCTGGGTTGACATCAAGTGCACAGGAGGTACTCAAGCACTTACCGACGCAGATGCTATCAACACGAGCTCAGATGCCAACTGGGAGGGTATGATCACGGATCAAGGGGCAACAGCAAAACACAGACTTAGGGTGGGGGCATTTGTGATGTGAGGACTTCTGAAAGCATTACGTGCTACTGAATGGCTTTGGAGCCTGGAAGGATCAGATACACTGGATACCCAGGAGGTCTTAGAATCATCTTCGGAAGCAATGGGACTAGAAGGAGATACAGTATGACACAGCACAGCCAACCCTTCAAGGAACATAGAGCACACCAGCAGCTTCGTCTTTTCAGGGCACTCTAGCAACACCTATTGGAATTCTGAACTCTCTGGGCAAGAACATGCAACTCCTGAATAGTGTCACTGTAGCAAAAATTACAAAGAGATGCTCCTACTTCACTCCCTCCTAGTGCACAGGGCATGGCTGGGGGAAAAGAAGGCATGCCCAAGGCATCCCTGTGCTCCAGTGATACTCTGCTTGGGGCCATAGGTAGGTAGATGTAAGTTAGAGCAACCCCAAGGATGCTCTAATGTATGACAGAGGGGCAGCTCCAAGGATAGAGGAAGCACAAAGGTGGTACACACATGACCATTCCTGTACCAACCATAGTACAACCAGAACAAAAATTGTTGCCTAGGTACCTGGGCATGAAAACTGATACATAAAGGACATGAGGCTGGTGCCCAGAGAGAAATGTTCATATTCCTACCTCCAGAATCAAGTAGACAAATGCAACCAAGAGAACCACCCTTTGAGAACCTAAAAGAAACTGGGAGCAGCCACATGTGCTCCTGGCTAGCACATGCCACTTACCTCAGCATACATGCTGAGAACAGACAAAGCACTCTAACCAGGTCATGCCTCCTTTGCGCTGAGGAGTACAGGGGAAACAACAGCTGGGCCCCTTTGTTGCTAACAGGGGTGTTCTTCTGTTGATGCGTACTGTTCTAAGGGAAGGGGCCCCTGCTTTCTCCTCCACTGCACCCACGTAACAGTGGCAGCATTTGGCCCTAGATATTTTAGACTATGTGGTGAAAACATGTTTACAGTCAGATTCCTCCAAAAAAGAGGAAGGATAACACACAGGACTGGGAGTCAGTAAGCACGGACTACATTCCCAGCTTGGCCGCTGACTCACTCCACAACCTCGGGTTGGTCACATAGCTATACCTCAGCTTCCTCGTTGGTAAACTGGGAATCCACGAGTCTACTCTAATTTATGCCACAAGCCGAAACAGAACCCAATACCTCTGGGGATTGGGATAGAGCAAAACGGTCTTAAAGCCACCACTGTGTCTGCCCCCTGTCTTCAGCAGAGCTCTGGTGCACCTGGTCTATATTCCATCCAACCACACATTTCCTCCAGGAAAATGAACTGCACTGGCTCAATCACATCTCCATTTCTAAGCACAGCATTACTCAAAAGCTTTCCTAGACATGACCAGAGTGTTTGATTAAAATGCCTGCGTAGCAGAGTTCCATACCTGTGACAAATAGAAAAACAACCAAGGCGGCTGTAAGAATGCGTTAACGAAAATTTGAACATGCACCTGTCAAGGTTCCTCCCCCACTCTGAACTCTAGGGTACAGATGTGGGGACCTGCATGAAAAACCTCCTAAGCTTATCTTTACCAGCTTAGGTCAAAACTTCCCCAAGGTACAAAATATTACACCCGTTATCCTTGGAATGGCCGCTACCACCACCAAACTAATACTGGTTACTGGGGAAGAGCTGTTTGGACGCGTCTTTCCCCCCAAAATACTTCCCAAAACCTTGCACCCCACTTCCTGGACAAGGTTTGGTAAAAAGCCTCACCAATTTGTCTAGGTGACTACAGACCCAGACCCTTGGATCTTAAGAACAATGAACAATCCTCCCAACACTTGCACCCCCCCTTTCCTGGGAAATGTTGGATAAAAAGCCTCACCAATTTGCATAGGTGACCACAGACCCAAACCCTTGGATCTGAGAACAATGAAAAAGCATTCAGTTTTTTACAAGAAGACTTTTAATAAAAAATAGAAGTAAATAGAAATAAAGAAATCCCCCCTGTAAAATCAGGATGGTAGATATCTTACAGGGTAATTAGATTCAAAAACATAGAGAACCCCTCTAGGCAAACCCTTAAGTTACAAAAAAGATACACAGACAGAAATAGTTATTCTATTCAGCACAATTCTTTTCTCAGCCATTTAAAGAAATCATAATCTAGCACATACCTAGCTAGATTACTTACTAAAAGTTCTAAGACTCCATTCCTGGTCTATCCCTGGCAGAAAACCAGCATACCGAGAGACACAGACCCTTTGTTTCTCTCCCTCCTCCCAGCTTTTGAAAGTATCTTGTCTCCTCATTGGTCATTTTGGTCAGGTGCCAGCAAGGTTACCTTTAGCTTCTTAACCCTTTACAGGTGAGAGGAGCTTTTCCCTGGCCAGGAGGGATTTCAAAGGGGTTTACCCTTCCCTTTATATTTATGACAGCACCTGTGAGTCAAATTAAAGAAGCCTAAATCCTAACTAAAGAACCTGGAGCAAGCTGCATGTGAAATGAAAATGATGCATGGTACATTTAAGTAATCTCATCCCAGGGAGAAAATGACATGTGTTTTGGTTTTCTGTTTCCTGGAAATGGGGATCTATGGCTGCTGGCTGTCCCGACCGCCCCTTTATCATTAGGGCTGTGCATTCCAGTTCAACAAAAACACAAATATCTTGCTATTGGCATCTCTGACTTTTCACAAGCTTTTTATTTTTGCTTCAGGAAGCCAGTTATGGAACAAAAAATAAACTGATAGCTAGTTTCCTCATGATGTTTCAATCATCCAGGAAGGGACCTGCTCTGAGAAAAATAGATCTCATGATATTTCAACCACTGAACTTGTTCTCTCAGTCACTGAAAACAAAAACAAACACAGGCACACGCACGAGATCAGGGCAGATTTCTACCTTGGATGCTCCTCTGCCTTTAAGATCTCCACACACAATAGAAGAGGTGCCATTCCAATGCGTGGGATAGGACAGGCTCAGGATTTGGTCAAATTGTCCTCGGGAGTTCAGTTGTGTGAGGCTCCCTGTGCATTGTCAGTCAGGGGGTTTTATGACAGGGCAGCAGTGGGCAGAGGTCAGAACTAGAGAATCAGCTTCGTCAGGGATCCTTTAGGCTTTGCTCTTCCAAGAAGAATGGGGTGTGCGAAGGCTCCAGGGCCCATCCCAGCCCTTGGCCTGGCACAGTATCTGTGGAGCTGCTCCTCCAAACACTATTCTCTCCATGGAGGTCCCCAGCATCCAGCTACTCAGGCTGGGAAGATAATGTAGTCCTAGAAGCAGAGAAACAGCATGGTGCTGAAAAGTTACCATAAGCGAGTAGGTGTGCAGTGCTGATATCCATTATTCTCATGCTGAGCTCGAACACAGATGGTAAAGTGGCTTCCAAAATACAGGTGAAGCTAAATGCCTACTAAGTTTCAAGCAACCTGGTCAACAGGCTCAAGGCCCCAAACTTCGGGGCAGGGGGGGGGGGGGAAAAAAAGCATCCCTGTGAGTGTTCTTGACATATATTTTTTACAAGTTGTTAGTACATTTGGGTTCTGAATTGATTCCTCAGTCACTCAAGAGTAATTACGCTGGAACCCCCTTTCTTTTTTAAAAGCCTTTTATAAACCCAGAAGGGTTGATGATGTCTCCTTTGGTTTGAAAGTTACAGCTACAGGCAAGTGTCCAACTGAATGGGACTTTTAAGCCTTAAGCTTCACAATTTAAAAGGAAAACTGACACTTTACAGCCTATTTTACCTGTGGCCACTGGCCTCCTGATGTTGCTCGTTTAGTTATCTCATTGATTGTATTCCTTCGAGAATCTGGGTCTAGACGTGATACCAATATAGGCTGGAAGGATCTGATAATTGCTGTGAAAGAGAGATTCAAGTTATCATTATTATTCATAGCACACTAGTACCTAGAAGATCCAACTGAAATCAAGTGCCACTGTCCTAGGCATTGAATAAGCGCATAGAAAGAAACAGACCCTGCCTTGATCAGCTTCCAGTCTAAATAGAAAAGACAGGCTAAGAATGGGAAAAAACAAGATATTACCGCCCCTAATACAGAGAATTTTTGTGATTTTTCACCCATGTTCATACAATCTGTGGCAGAGTCAGGAACTGAATGCAGATCTCCTAAGTCCCAGTCCTGCCTTGACCACGAGACCATCTTCCCTGCTGCTGTGCTCCCAACGCTACATAGCAAATATCAGCAAAAAGAAAAGGAGGATTTGTGGCACCTTAGAGACTAACAAATTTATTTGAGCATAAGCTTCCGTGAGCTACAGCTCACTTCATCGGATGCATGTAGTGGAAAAGACAGTGGGGAGATTTTATATACACAGAGAACATGAAGCAATGGGTGTTACCATAATGGATTTTTTACTGTCAGTCCTTTTGGTATGATGTCCATCTGTTTGCATTTTAAAAAATCCATTACGGTAACACCCATTGTTTCATGTTCTCTGTGTATATAAAATCTCCCCACTGTATTTTCCACTACATGCATCCGATGAAGTGAGCTGTAGCTCACGAAAGCTTATGCTCAAATAAATTTGTTAGTCTCTAAGGTGCCACAAGTACTCCTGTTCTTTTTGCGGATACAGACTAACATGGCTGCTACTTTGAAACATAGCAAATATCAGTAAGTCTTTTATGCTAGTCTAGTGTTCTTAGGTTACTTTTCCTAGTTGCTGACTGGGAGTTTGGCTTTGCGTTATATTGCTTATGAAGAATGCTGTAAACTTCAGGCTGGCCACCATAAAAAATAAAGGACGTGAGATTAGTAAAAGTGCTACAGCATGTATATGGCCCCAGTAATAATAAGTGTGGGTCTTCTTTTTTCTTGGGTCAATGGGAGGAGAAGGAAGGCTCAGACAATGGGAAAAATCAAGCATATATTCTATTCTAATCTACGGAATGGTTTCCTTTTTGGTTTACTTCTTCACAGCTCAGTGACAGCACACACACACACACACACACACAGAGGAGAAATGCTCAGAGAGTTCAGATGTAGAAAGCAGTGGTAAGAATATGCCATTTTCTGAATTTCCTTGGTCTGGGTCTGTTCTGCATTTTCTTTACATAACTCCCCACCCCCAAGACCTCAAGTAATTTGTATGTTCATCTGCAAATTCAGCACTTTGAGGGCTTGATAAGTCCATTCCATCCACCCATGTCAAGTAAAGAAGCCTTTGCACAACTTGCCCATTCTTGGAAACGTCCGGCAGATCTGCACTGGGATTGTCAATTCCACAGCTTCCTTCAAGCCTCCTCTGAGCTACTCATTGTCACAGGCCAGGGGCATATCTAAGCCTTAAGCGTGGGCTCACTACCTCCAGTTCTATGGCAAGAAGGTCTCCCTGTGGCAAAAGTCCCCCCAAAGTCACGTGAACCGTGTTCCTTTGGTTTCTTTGTGTTACTCCTGAAGCCCCTTGGTCTTCCTGCTTCCTTCCCCTCAAGAGTCTGAAATTTCTGGAAAGCTCCCATCCAAGTTGCCCAAAGGCAAACACTGTCAACAGGAGAATCTTCTGGCTAATGACTTACAGGATGATTGTCAAGGGTCACTTGAGTCATGTACACAAAGGAAGACAATAGAGCTAGAAATTATGGCAGGACAGTGTTAGGGAGGGAAACACAGTGGAAATATAGGTCAGGGTTTCAAAGACATTTAGGCACCTAAAGATGCAGACAGGTGCATGGTGCGATTTTCAGAAATACCTAAGCAAGTTAGGAGCCTATCTTCCATTGAGATCTGAAAATCCCACTAGGCGCCTAGCTGCATTTTTAAGTGCCTAAATATCTTTGAAAATCTGGCCCTCAGTCACTTTTTAACATAGGACTTTGGCTCCTAAGTCACTATGGCACTTAGGAAAATTTTATCCCTTATCTGTAACTTTATCAATACTTACTGCCAAATACTGGGGTCGACAGGTTCTCTACCCTGGATACGCTCGATGGAAATCCAGCTACGACACTAATAATTCCATCAAAGAAGCTTGAGTGAGGAGCTGCCACAAAGATTGGGGCTTCCAAGGGACCTGCTACTTTCCCCTTCACTTTAATTTGGAAGCCCATCAAGAAGAACAAAGCACGACCTAAGCACTGGAAGGCACATTGGATCACTTTCCTTTAAAAAGAAAATAAAACGAATAGCATGCATAAGTGAATAAACTCCATTATGTGCTCCGGCCACCATTTCTTTCCCACTTTAGAATAAAGAGCATGCAAGTAAGGTTTCCATATCATGCATTATAACTACTGGACTCATGCACCAGCTATGTGGGAAGTCAGACACTACTGCCTCCTTTTTACGTTAAAAACTACAGGGATTCCACTTTGAATCAAAATTAGCCAGTCAAATAACATCATTCCTGTTTTTTTTAAATGATCCGTTTTAATAAAGAAACCCTGATTAAGATGGAAAATGATCATGTTCCTTTAAAGAGGAACTTTAACTCTCAGCTATTCCCCGGTTTTGCTGTAACCCACTTCCTATTATTATTCGCGCCTGGCATCATATGGCTGCAGAGGGGGAAGAATCTGGAATGCACCCAAGATATTGAAAGGCCCAAAGCGGAGCGATCAAAACCCAGAATCCCTGCTTATAACAGATATAGCTGTGAAACAGCCCTTTAATGACATCACACCTAACAGAAAAGACTTGTGAGCGGCCACAAGTGTTTTTGTTGTCATGCATAATATTATTGAGCAATCTGGGCACAAATGTGGCCAAATACAAACTTTGCCTATTATGTAACATCAGCAATATATGGGGATGTATTTTCTTGTTCCCATCATCCTTGGGCAGAATTCCAAAGGTGTTTTACTTCCTTTGTTAAGGAGTACCCCACTCCGTGGCCCAAATATTCCTTTCCAGCACCACCTCTAAGGAAAGGTCTGGCTTGCAAAGTGTCTATCTTTAACATCTAAACTAGCTCCCAAGGTCTCTGCTGCAATGAGCTGAGCAAACTACATAGCCCACCACACAGAAGAAGATTTTCTGATATTTGCATGAGGTTGCAGAAACTTTATTTCTGTTTTACAATCACTCAGAGAAAATGCACTAAAATGCTGTTGAATTGAAACATATGAAGCAGACACATTCTCCACAGCATGTATTTGCAATATTTCTTTGATCATGTTAATAATAAGGAAAAAAAATTAAAGTTTGAAGCTTTTAAAATACATTGCTAAAAGTTACCTAAAGTTTGACAATTGCTTTTTACCTCTTCCATCCCATGAGCGGCACAGACCCTCTCTCAGGGTGGCAGAAAGTCACAATAGCTGCAATTGGCCATGTTAGCAGCAAAATTAATGCAATGCATATGGCACGAAATGGAAGCAGGATAATCCCCAACAGGACAGTCTAGGAGGGGAAAAAAAGGAAGAAAATGCACCAACAGAAATCACTGACCACTGATTTGCTCTGGTTACATAATGTGGACTTTAAAGTACTTATGTCACTGCTACATGATTAAACACGAAAAGTATTATGTGATTCTAACACAACTACAGATGTTTACGTAAAAGGAGGGGGAAGTTATTTTCTTTTACAAACGGTGCTTGGGAAAATTCTATAGTTGGAATTGGAATTTCTGAATCTTTAAGTCAAGGATCTTACAAGAATGACTGGCACAGGGGATTGGAAAATTTATTTATTTAGTGTGTGCATAGTCATCTAGCCAAGCGATGGCATCTTCAGTGGTATGATCCAGTTCTTCTAGGCCATCGCTGAACCTAGTCAGCAGGCATTCCTCGACAACGTCCGTCATTGTCTGTGTCGTGCCGCAGCTGCACAAAGGCCTGTCACAAAGGCCACAGCGATACTGGTTGGCTACACAGAGACCTTGCCCAGTCTGGAAACTATTCAACAGGGACCACTGACAATGGGACAGGTCAAAACCAGGCAGGCAATTTGTGGGGCTGGCGACAAGGGACTGGTTGGAGATTATAACAGATAATCATTCCTCTCGCCAGAGTGTTTCCGCCCTAACATCTTGGCGTGGCGGACTGGAAATGGTAATGGTCGCCTCCAGGTGATCAATTCACATCCAGTCCAGATAGCTAGTAACCAAACATCATTACCAACTGACATCTGCTTGATGTGTCTCAGTCCTGGTCCTAGGGAACACATCCACAACAAGCCAACTGTAACATGCACTAATGTTGGTATAGCCTCAGCAGAAACACCAAGATGGAAACAGGCTAAGTTCCCCCTGCATTAGTAGCTTGAGCTTTAGTGGCACTCAAGCATCCACACATGCGCACACACCCTGATGAGCTAGCTATGTCGAGCATGAAGCCCCAGTTACCTGCAGCTAGACATTTATGGGCGTGGTTGGGAACTGAATTAGGGGGAACACTAAGGTTGTACCCTGAGCTATAAATGTAGTGAAGCCATACCTAAATTGCCTGTTCACCCCAAAGACAATCTCTACTATTTAAGTTCTAGCATAGTACGAGTATCCCATGTCATTACGGCTGCCCAGGAGATATCAGTTCTATGGACAATAGTCTTCAGTCCACAGTCACTCTGGGAATTTTTCACAAACACTGAAGTCACTTAAAAGTATTAAAAACATACAGGCTTGATGAAGACAACACAATCTATTTTACTTCCTACCTCCTGACTGCTTTGAAATGTGCCTCTTTGAATCCTCAAAACACACTGAGATAGAGCCTCAACTTTATTTTTCATAAATTTAGAAAAAACTTTGTTTAGACAGGCTAAAACTGAAATGCACTCTGAGGAGCTGTTGAAGGGAAAAAGACACAGCTTCCCTGTTCCTTGGTCAATAACAAGAACAGACTCAATATTTACACATAGTATAATACACACAAAGCAGTCTTGCCACAATCAAACTGTTCCTCTTCGACTCAGTTTGTAAAGCTCTCTCAAACATGCTAGGTAGGTACATCATAGACACATGTACCCAGGAAAATGCAGACTGGCTAATCCAGCTATTCAGTAAGGGTTATAAAACTACAAACCATGCTAATATGAATGCAAATATTTGACATGGTATTAAATTTTATCATGATGTAACCATATCCTGCTTTATTCTACAATACTGCTGCTGTATTTAACAGAATAAATGCACAAACCATATTCATCCAAAGGTATACTGGATGTCATGAAGCCTCTCAACATAACTAATTACAATGAAAGAGCTTAATGTGTTGTATTTAAGTTGAATCTTGAAATAATTTTGCAATGTTTTTCAATCAGGTCACAAACAACAGAAAGTAGAAACAGAAGAATTAGTTTTGGGAAACCCCCATTTGGAAAGTTATATCTGAAGGATCATTACATCCACAGCCATTTAACAATGAATTTCCAAAACCGGACAGGTACATTGCAGCAAGAAGTGTATCGTACCAAAACAAGCAAGTTGTGTTAAGTATTTTAGTGCCATATCAGGTGATTGGCTCTTATTAGCAATCATGCAAGCTTTACCTTTTTTTTTTAAACCTGCAACTAAATAGTAGCATTCCTCCCTCAAAGACAGCACTTCTAATCTGATCTTTACAAATGACTACTTCCTGTTCAAAAAGAAAAGGAGTACTTGTGGCACCTTAGAGACTAACCAATTTATTTAAAAGCAAGGCCAAACAGCTGCCCCAATCAGGAAATAACTTCCGGAAAGCAATTTCTGATTCATACAGCTGAATGATCATTACCAAACTATATCACTGTCTTGATTCTTACCTCTCCCCTTTAAATTAACTAATGTTTGTAATTCACGTTGGAGATTAAAAACATTTCTAAGTACTATTCATTCTATTCTTCAATATACTCCATTGGCTACAATGTTCCTTTTGTCTGTCTCTCTCTCTCATCTCTTTCAGCGTTCCTTCAATCTTGTCGTGACATCCTACTATTCCAAAAATAATTGGACCATCTCCAATCAAAAGTAAATTTGTCCTTATTTATCTTCTAAATCCATCAGCTATCGCATCCAGGAAAATCTGAGCCCTATTATTATTACTAGCATTTGTCCTATATCTGGGAAGTTAAAGTCTCCCATAATCACACAATTTCCATTATTATTTACTTCATTAAAAATATTAAAGAGGTCTCTATCCATATCCAAATCAGATCTCGGTGGTGTATAGCACACCCCAAGCACCATCCCAGTGGAGGCTCTAGTAGCTTTCTTCCCCAATGTAATTTTTGCCCAGACAGACTCTGTCTTATCTATTCCATCACTTCTTATTTCTTTACAGTCGACCTCATCATTGATATACAATGCTACTCCACCACCTTTGCCTTTATTTCTGTCTTTCCTAAATAGCACATACCCTTCAATACCTGTACTCCAGTCATGACTACTATTCCATCATGTTTCTGTTATCCTTATATCATCTGCTTTCACTTCCTGCACCAGTAGCTCTAGTTCCTCCATTTTGTTACCTAGGCTCCTCGCATTGGTGTATCTTAATTTTTGCTATTTGGCTTTGCTCACGTTCTTTACCTGATTAGGCACAGACATTCTATGGCCAGTATCACCTATCAGACTGATATCTAAACCACCCTTCCTCCTTATGTCCATTCTTCTACCCACGGCTGTATCCTTTCTTACTTCATTTTCTTCCCTCTCAATGCTAAACTAGAGAAGAGCATTTGTTTGTTTGCAGAAGTTTGAACATGAACATTCTATGCTGTCCAATGTCCACAAGAAAGATTCAGTGAGTAAAATGTGAGTGAAAATCAGGATCTTTAGTTCCCATTGGCCCCTTGTCTCTCTGTCAGGCCTTGACCTGCAAGGGGCACCTCACGGGCAGAACCCAGCGCTCATGGAAAACCCCAATGGCCTCGAGGGGGCTGTGAATGGGTGCCAAGCTCACCACACACTGCACCTTGCAGTACTGGGACCTGACACTGTACCATTGTGTAGTCTCCCCCCACTCTCCCTGTAGCTTTACAGGAACATACTTTGAGTGCTGAACAAAGTGGAGATTATTGTAGAAAGCTGGAGTAATGGACCATGGTTTCAAATTGCAGGCTTCTGAAAACAAGTTTCTGTATTCTATAACCAGGTTTACTAGTATGGAAACCTACATCTTTGGGGAAATCGCACTGAAGTCAATGGCACAATTGAGAGGCGTGGGGTCCATGATTGCAGATCCTGGTGTGTTTGTATTTAAGAAGCATTTCAGCCCACCATTAAAGCAGGTCAAATTTGGCTCAAAGTTTAGATTTTAATACTATAGGATTTTAATGTTTTAAAATAATTGTTTCCACGTATTTTAATTCTAAAGGGTGAAAGGAAAAAAAGTCTGTCATCCAATCCCCTGCAGCATTTGCATCCACTACCCCGTAGAATCTAGTTCAATTGAGCCTTTCAATGCAGCAAAATCTGTTAACGATAATGTGAAACTGCCTACCCTCTTTGCATTGTCCAAGCTAACCGATAAATAAGAGACAGTCAACATGAAAAAAAAAAATTATGTTTTCAATTATTTAATTTTAATTTAAAAAGAACAGGAAAGAATTTTTAAAGTGCTTAACATGAGTCCTTTTAAGATCAATATTATAATAATTCAGCTTTTTATACTACCATCTCAAAGCGAGGCAGGTATTATTCACATTGTATAGATTAATAAACCAAGGAACAGTGTTTAAAAGTTCACAGTTATAACAAAAATAATGTTTTAGGATATGTTCTTTCCTACTTTATAAATAACAACCGTAGCCCTCAGGCTGCAAATACTTATGCAAGGGTGTAACTTAGAGTTGTCACTTTGGATGGGCTAGCACCAGCAGGAGAGTGAATTTGTGTGGGGGGGTGGAGGGTGAGAAAACCTGGATTTGTGCTGGAAATGGCCCACCTGCTGATCACTTTAGATAAGCTATTACCAGCAGGACAGTGGGGTGGGAGGAGGTATTGTTTCATATTCTCTGTGTGTATATAAAGTCTGCTGCAGTTTCCACTGTACACATCTGATGAAGTGAGCTGTGGCTCACGAAAGCTCATGCTCAAATAAATTGGTTAGTCTCTAAGGTGCCACAAGTACTCCTTTTCTTTTATTCACATGAGTTACAATTTTGATGTCAGTGGGACTACTCATTTACATAATTATTTCACCTGCTTGTTTCCAGGATTGGGTCATTAGATTATTAAAGTAAGATCATTTTAAACAGTGACTTACTCTTTATGCTGATTTCTTTTACATTTCCCCTAAGCTTTGATAACATAAACAGCCTACTCATTGTCACTTATTGCTATTCAATTTCACTTTCAAGGTGACATGAACCAGAAAAATGAGGAAATGATTGGGAAGGAAATGTTTCCACTGGATTTGTTTTCCCTGAAAAAAATTTCTACTGCTGTTGAGCATTTTATAAAATGCTCCCCCACCCCACCAGAATCTAAAATCCCAGTGCTCCAACTGGATCTAATTGTCTATTAGAGCCAACTCATGGGCCTATTTTGATCTTATGGTACCAGAGTACTAACATCAAAAGTAACTGCACCTCAGAAGTTCTATTCCTTGAATTCAGTGGCTCTCAAACTTTTGTACTGGTGACCCCTTTCACATAGCAAGCCTCTGAGTGCGACCTCATAAATTAAAACCACTTTTTAAAATATATTTAACACCATTATAAATGCTGGAGGCAAAGTGGGGTTTGGGGTGGAGGCTGATGGCTCACGACCCCCCCATGTAATCACCTCACGACCCTCTGAGGGTTCCCGACCCCCAGTTTGAGAACCCCTGCTTTAATTGGACCCAACAGCCACTGTAAACGGAGAGATTAACTCTTCAAAAATAATAATAAATAATAACAACAACAACATCTCAGTGCAATGGGAGCTACTTTTTAAGGGGTGGGGGTAGAGATCAACGTTTACCGAGACACAGTATTTGGAAACTAGCGCTGTGGGTTTCGACGAGCTGCGGGAGGGCGATGGGGTTGGTTTGTTGGTATAAGCGGCTCCTCCTATCAGCCCACCGTCGAAGCGCTCGGCGCTGCACTGTGTCCGTGCAAGCGCCTTGCAACGACCCCGGGGACACGCGGACGGGCGGGGGGAAGACAACCACCGTGTCCAGCTAGTGCACACCCACGCCGGGGGGCAGACGGGCCGCTCCCCTGAAGAGCCCCCCGGGGGGGGGGTGGCTGGAGGGAGGCGCTATTGCCCCTGGCACGCCGGGGGCCGGCTACTCGCCGCCCGGGCTCGACTCCAGCCTGGGTGGAAGGACTGCACGGGAATAAACCGCCTCATGCCCTTGGCTGGGGGAGCCGGAGCCGGAGCCTTCCCGGGCGCCTGTTTATTCCCCGTTACACGTGCCCCGTTTGCACCGGCGGGGCGGGGCGGGGCTGCCCCGTTCCCCCCGCCCCGCGCCGCCGGCCTTACCCGCGCTTTGTCCTGGGCGCTCAGGCGCCCCTCGTGCACGAAGGGGTTGCGGACGCTGGGCGGGTAGAGCGACTGCTGCCTGGGCAGGGGGAAGAGCCGCGGCGCCATGGCCCCGCCGCGCCGGCCGCCGGGCTCCGAGTCCCCGCCGCAGGGCTGCTCCGCCTCCCGCCGCCACCTGCGCATGAGCCGCCCGGGGGGGCCGCCCCGAGGGATTCCCGGCCGCCCTCCTGGCGTGGCCGCCGCAGGCGGGGGGAGCTCGGCTCCCGGCCTTTCACGTGTCCCTGGGGGGGTCCTGCTGGGCAGCCCCTGCCCCGGCTGCAGCCAGAGCCCCCAGGAAGGCTGGGAACGGGAGGGGGGATTTAATGGCAGCTCGCCCCCAGTGTAAACAGGTCTCTGAGGGAACTGTCCCCAGAGCACAGCCAACCCCAGGGCCCTTGTGGCTCCCAGCTTTGGGGGCTGGGAAGGGAACCACCCCCCGCCATTCCTCCTGCAGGAGCTGTGACCAAAGTAGGAGGCTGGACCCCCACACTTCCCACCTCCTTGGACTTGGGCTAGTGGGGGGTGGACCCTTGTCAGCACCCCAAACCTTGAACAGCAGGCCCCCTTCTCAGAGGCAGCACACACAAAGCCTCCCATCTCTCTATTTGTGGTACCTATCTGGCCTCCATCACTGTAGTATCTACATGCCTCACAATCTTTACAATATCTAGGGTGACCAGATATCCCGATTTTATAGGGACAGCCCCGGTTTTGGGGTCTTTTTCTTATATAGAACAGGAGGACTTGTGGCACCTTAGAGACTAATTTATCAGAGCATAAGCTTTCATGGGCTACAGCCCACTTCATCGGATTCATAGAATGGAATGAGCCATCTTGATTATCACTACAAAAGATTTTTTCTCCTCCAGGTAATAGCTCATCTTTATTAATTAGCCTCTTACAGTTTGTATGGCAACTTCCACCTTCTCTATGTGTATATATATCTTCTTACTATATGTTCCATTCTATGCATCTGATGAAGTGGGCTTTAGCCCACGAAAGCTTATGATGCTTGAATAAATTTGTTAGTCTCTAAGGTGCCACAAGTATTCCTGTTCTTTTTGCGGATACAAACTAACATGGCTGTTACTCTGAAACCTTTCTTATAGAGCCTTCTATTACCCCCCCCAGTCCCGATTTTTCACATTTGCTGTCTGTTCACCCTAGCTGTATCTCTCCTCACAACATCCCTGCGAGGCAGGGAACTACTATTGCCCCCATTTCACAATTGGGTAACTGAGGCATAGAAAAATTAAATGACTTGACCAAGGCCTCTGCTTGGAGGTTGCATCCCTTGTTAGTGCCTGCTGGGAGCCCCAGTCGTGGCCCAGGATTCCATTGTGCTGGGCGCTCTACAAACACAGACCAAAAGACAGTCCATGCTCCAAGGAGCTTTTCTTTCCCCCTTTCCTTTGTGATGGTACAAAACCAAAAATCTCTCAAATGCACAGCCCAATAAATCATATAGGAGCAAGCCAGGTCTGGGTCAGTGAGGTCTGTCTCTCTTTTTAATATATGTAAAGTTTACTTCAGTAACATCAATTTCATCCCTTTACATCATGTTGTCATCATTTCTTATCAGTATTTGACAGGGATTAACACTGAGATAGCCCAGGTTTTTATGTAGAAGCTGGGGTAAACGTGGACCTAAAATAGATGTCATATCCTGTAAACAGGTCCTCATCCAAATGCCCTGAAACCTTTATTTTGTAATGATCTACCACTAGGCGGAGATAGGACAATTCATTGCCAGAAAGATAAAGTTAAGTGGTCAGGTGGCATAATTAGTGAAGAGGAGTTAATTTTAGGTAGCGAGCCTTATAAAGCTATTCATTCTCCATCTCCATGTCAGAGTTGAGGGTTGCTGGAACTGCCTCTGTCTTCAAACCTGAATGAAGCTTGGTCACTTTTTGAAACTAAGCAAAGTTTCAGCCTAACTTTATTTGGGGTACGTTTAGTTCCTCAGACTACACTCATAACAGAGTTGATATAAATTTATTAACCAGATTATGATGTAAGAACATAACTTTTTCATTGCCCCATCGAAGACAGAGGGTCTAGTGGAGTGGGCACTGGGCTGGGACTTGGCTTCTAGTCTTGGTTCTCAAATGACTGACCTGTTGCGTTACCTTAGGTGGGTCCCTGTGACACTGTCTCCTATCTCACCTATTGTCTGTCTTGTGTCTAACTAAGCATTCATGTAGTGGCTCTGTTGGGGTCTGTAAGTGCTACCATCAAACAACTAAATAATAACAATAAACAAGTCTCAACCTTTCTAATCGAGTTCCTCTGATTGGGGAGAACAGTACTTACCTACTTCACAGCGATGTCATGAGGATTAATACATTAACAGCAGTCAAATAATTTTAAATAGTATTTGTGCTTTGAAAGTGCGAAACACAGTGTAACGGCTAATTAATAATACAAAGATTCTGCCAAATTCTGACGTCAGGTAGGCACGCACCGCACTATCTGTCTGCAATGGAACGCTGGCCAGGCTGTTTTCCTCACTGTCCTTATTGCCATCCCATCCCCACAAATGCTGGGGTTTCTCACTGTCACCTGTCATACACCCTGTCTGGAAACAGCTACAGGACAATCAAAGAAGTTGCTAACATGGAATGTTGGAGAACCTTTTGACTGCCACGCTTGAACTATCTAGAGAGACCTTGGTACAGGTGGAGAGAGAGAGAATCTGAAGGCTGAGAGGGAGGAGAGGAGAGTCCACCCTGAAAGGACTGACTGAAAATCCAAAGGGTTCTCTTAGTGGTGAGGGTATTGGAGGGAGGTGCTGGCTTTGTTTTTGCACTGTTCTGTAACTTGCTGTAGTTTCTCTATGAATAACAGTTTGTTCAAAAATCTGACTGCTTGGCTAGGTGAGCAGCAACCAATTCCTCTTTCATCGGCAGCCAGTCTTCCATAGAGAATGCAAACACCCCAACTGGGCTTAAATGAGCTTTGTGCAGAGATTAACGCTCTGCCTAATTCTCCCTCTGTGACCCCCACCCCCACTTATAATGAAGAACCCTCAGGTACTAAATCTCTCACTTATGTTCCTCCCATTTGGGATGATGCCAAGATTCAAGCATGTAGGCCTAGAGCCACGGTGCCATAAATTCAAAAGTGACCTTCTCTGCCAATCCTTGATCTCCTTTTAAAGCCGAGTGCTTTTTTATTATATATCACCAAAATCCACAGATAAACACACCAGCATTATATATATGTACAATTTAACGGTAGTTTATTCTTATTACTATAAAATACTGATCTAGCTTATAAGAGTATTCTAAGTACTTTGCAGGGATGTAGGAAGATAGATTCTTGCCTAGAAGAATCATAGAATCATAGAATATCAGGGTTGGAAGGGACCCCAGAAGGTCATCTAGTCCAACCCCCTGCTCAAAGCAGGACCAATTCCCAGTTAAATCATCCCAGCCAGGGCTTTGTCAAGCCTGACCTTAAAAACCTCTAAGGAAGGAGATTCTACCACCTCCCTAGGTAAAGCATTCCAGTGTTTCACCACCCTCTTAGTGAAAAAGGTTTTCCTAATATCCAATCTAAACCTCCCCCACTGCAACTTGAGACCATTACTCCTCGTTCTGTCATCTGCTACCATTGAGAACAGTCTAGAGCCATCCTCTTTGGAACCCCCTTTCAGGTAGTTGAAAGCAGCTATCAAATCCCCCCTCATTCTTCTCTTCTGCAGGCTAAACAATCCCAGCTCCCTCAGCCTCTCCTCATAACTCATGTGTTCCTAGTCCCCTAATCATTTTTGTTGCCCTTCGCTGGACTCTCTCCAATTTATCCACATCCTTCTTGAAGTGTGGGGCCCAAAACTGGACACAGTACTCCAGATGAGGCCTCACCAATGTCGAATAGAGGGGAACGATCACGTCCCTCGATCTGCTCGCTATGCCCCTACTTATACATCCCAAAATGCCATTGGCCTTCTTGGCAACAAGGGCACACTGCTGACTCATATCCAGCTTCTCGTCCACTGTCACCCCTAGGTCCTTTTCCGCAGAACTGCTGCCTAGCCATTCGGTCCCTAGTCTGTAGCTGTGCATTGGGTTCTTCCGTCCTAAGTGCAGGACCCTGCACTTATCCTTATTGAACCTCATCAGATTTCTTTTGGCCCAATCCTCCAATTTGTCTAGGTCTTTCTGTATCCTATCCCTCCCCTCCAGCGTATCTACCACTCCTCCCAGTTTAGTATCATCCGCAAATTTGCTGAGAGTGCAATCCACACCATCCTCCAGATCATTTATGAAGATATTGAACAAAACCGGCCCCAGGACCGACCCTTGGGGTACTCCACTTGATACCGGCTGCCAACTAGATATGGAGCCATTGATCACTACCCGTTGAGCCCGACAATCTAGCCAGCTTTCTACCCACCTTGTAGTGCAACATCTGTTTTGCAAAGGCAAAAAGAGCTTACAATCTAAGATCCTGATCCTGCAGTTAAATCTGCTGATGTTAAACCAGGGGTGAAAGTAAGTTGAGTGACTTACCGGTATGCTGGGCCCAGCTCTGGCCCCTGGGAGGGGCGGGGCCTAGGGCGGAAGGGGCTGAGGGGGTCAGAGCCAGCCCCAGCCCACTCTGTAAGGTAAGTGCCCCCCACTTCTCCTCCTCCTCCTCCTCCCCCCTACCCCACCGGGGTAGCAGCAGCAGCCCAGGGCTCCAGGGGCTATTTAAAGGGCCCGCGGCTCCCCTGCTTCTACCACCCCGGTCCTTTAAATAGCTGCTGAAGCCCCGCAGCCACTACCCCAGGGCTCCAGCAGCGGGGCTCTGGAGGCAATTTAAAGGGCCTGGGGCTCCAGCCACTGCTGGGAGCCCCAGGCCCTTTAAATTGTCCTCTGGGGAAGCCAGGCTGCCCCAGTACAGTGCACTGGCTCTTGCCGGTACACCATACCGGGGAGTACCAGCTTACTTTCACCTCTGTGTTAAACCCCTGCGTCCAGTACATCTGCAGTCTGTACATACAACCCATGTGAAACATGCCGGCAGATTGTGCCATGTTTTGCAGAATATATCCTGTAGGGGGTAGATTTTCCTTTGGTGTAGATTGTCATAACTTCATTGACGTCAGTGGCACTATGACTAGTTATACCACACTAGCATCTTCCCCTTAGTACTCGTTTCAGGAAGAAATAACT